TTGTTGAGAAATTCATCGAAAATGGAGCTAAAGTTATCTGCACTAATCTCATGACCAGAAGTTTCATTACTGAAAACTATTTGTGCTTCATATAAAAACTGTTCATGATTAAACTGATTCATGTCACGCTTCATTTCTGGAGCACATTTCGGGGGTGAGTGTTCCATCTCAATCCCACAAAAAATAGGATAGTGGTCTGTCAGGCTATCGATTTGTGCCATTGGCTTCATATTTTTATCTATTATGTTGTTATAAATATGATCAAGCAGAATTACTAGTCACTCTGGTAGGAAGCGTGATCAGTGGGACCGAAGCATGTCAAGGTATTCCTTTGTAAAATTAGTCTTGGCAGTCAAATTAATATTTATGTCCCCAATGATAAGAAACTTTTTTCCGTCATTTGTTAGGTCATTAAGGCTGTTTCGTAGCTTGTATGAAAATTCATGATAATCAGAATTAGGGTGACGATATAGGATCCCAATAATTAAGGAATAGGGCTTTGTCGATTTAATGGAAATCTCAACCCAGAGTTCTTCACAACCAATGACACCTAATTTATAGTCACTAACAAAATTTGGGGAGAAGTATGATTTAATATATAGGCCAACACCACCACCATTAGTGTTAGAAGGTGTATGATGAAAATCATACCCTTCTATATCTCTATTAGATATTGGGTCGGATTTTAATTTAGTTTCCGAGATTGCTATAAATCAGGGTCAGCCAACCTTTTGCTGACGGGCCACATTTAGTTTACTAATAATTGAGCGGGCCACTTAACATGGAAACTATGTTCAAGTTTTGCTACATTGACTAAAAGTTAATGAAAAAACGAACAAAACTCTCGCACCAAACTTTCTCAATAATAAGAACAATAAAAAAAACGAAGATACAGTAAAGTCGACAAAGTTTTTTCTACACATAGATATTTTAGTGTGAAGTTTGGCACTGTTTTTCGCTAACAAGTTTGTCAATATTCGCTAAAATGGACGATGTAGCAATGCGAAGCGAATTTTTCATATGACTGTCAGAAATTAGTGATCTCACGGGGGATTTGACATGGTTCATCTGTGAAAAAACTTGCTTGTACAAGTACGTGCTGCCAAATTATCAGGTCATTAAAACTGCCATTCTGCCCAAGTGTGTGAGCTACTATTTATGTATTGATATCTTCCAGTTGCTGATGGCACTAATGGCCCGTCTGAAAAGGCTAGCAGAGCGCATTTCAGGAAAATGTACAAATCGTTTGTATCAAATCTTCATATTAATCACATCACTCGAAAAATAGAAGTTTTACTCAACATTTTTTAATTTTATTCTGAAAATACAGCGTGGGCCACTCGAAACTTCTCGGCGGGCCACATGTGGCCCGCGGGCCACGGGTTGGACGACCCTGCTATAAATGATGGGGAAGAATCAAAGTCATGTATAAGTCTAAACAGCTCGTCAAAATTTGTTTGAATGGATCGGATGTTCATGTGAGCAATAGCTAATGAATGATTTTTCAATCCAGTCAATTTATTTGATATACCTTCGCGATCCTTCATTGAGACAGGTTTTGAAACATTAGAAAATTCAAAATCATCTATATTCAAATTATTATCAAGCCCCTCACTGTCACCGAAAACAGCGTTATCATGTAAAGATGACAGTGTGTTACAGTTTGTACAGCATTAATAAGATGCTACTTGAACTATGTTGGAATTAATTTGGGAAAAATAGCACTGAGAAAGAATTTTAGAATTGCAGGTATCACATTCTATAAAATTGTCTGAACAAGGTTTTTTACACAATAAACATAAATATAAAGACGCCATTTTATACTAGGTAAAAAAAATAAGACCTACTATGGAATACAGTTGATCATTCCAAGTTTCCAATATCAGCCAGCGTTCTGATTTGAATTCTTGGGGAATCCTTATTTTTCCTCATAAATATGTTTCCATTCGTTGTCCAGCGTCTCTCGTATTTATTAGTTTTTTTGACATACTGGCGTTGTATAACAAGTTGTTTCTAAAGTCTGTCAAATTTTCATTAATGTAAAGAGCTTTCATACCAATGATTCCGAAATTCCCAATGCTGGATGTGGTGCGCTTCTTGTCAACAAATTCATTCCGTTTATTCCTGTTAGTGAATCTAACTATGATAGGGGGGATTTTAGATTTATCATGCCGAGGCAGTCTGTTCTACATTGATGTTCAGAAGTTTGCCCATTTTTATTACAAGATCATCTGTATTTTCTCACCTTCTATATACGGGATGCCATGAAATTCTAAATTCTCTTTACTTATATATTGTGCCAAGTCCTCGAAATCTTTATCGAATCTAAGCTGAAGAGTTGAAACTAATGCTCTAAGTGCATTATTTGAAGCTGATAGCTCCTCTACTTTGGTATGAAGTTCCGCCAGGTAACTTTTTTGGATTTCAAATTCAGCGTTTATGAATTCCTGGCTCGCTTTAACGATTTGAACATCGCTTTGGAGAGTAGTATTTACCATACGAATGCCATTTAGATCTTTAACCAGCATGTCCACTTTGCCCATCAGTGTATCAGACTGCTGGAACATGACTTCTAGACGCTCCGTCAATTGCTGAGTGTTGTTAAGCACTGACTCATATATTTGGGTTGAAATTTTTTTGTCGTGCTCATTGATGGATTCTTCAGGCAAATCTTTTAAACTTTCCTCCACAATTGCCTTGATCTCTATTTTTAGGTTTTTTGTTATTCTATTTTCCATAAGATCCAATTTACGTCCAAATTCTTCAAATTTCTTTTCCATGGTTTTAAAAAGTTGATAGCTCTAAGACTAACCAGTAAGTAATTTAGGGTATGTATCTGTGAATCTTAATCAAATAGCGAATAATGAAACAGTCTTTCCTCATTCCGATTATTCTTTATTAATTATGTGTAACGTTTAATTCGCAATAGTATGTAAAGGAAATATTACAAAACTATAAAATAAAATTAGATCGTGTATTTATTTCGAGAAATATTATTTTCACATCTGCACTATAGTAACTACGCTTTAGATATGGTGCGACTCATTTGTAGATAAAACCGCAACGTTGCTCGATAACCAGTACCGACTCCCTTGGTTCTGAGTTATCTTCTCTGCACTATACATGCAAAATGTGTATTTCCAATAAGGTTAAAAAAAATAATAAAGATCGATAACTAAACACTGACTTATCCTGAAATGCTTTTTAATAGAGTGTCAAAGTAGTACCATCCATTTTTTTTAGCATATTTGATTTATTAACATTCCAAAGATTTTTTTATATTTGCAACATTTAATTTGCGTGACTGGTTATATCAGAATAAATCTGGGTATCTAAAGCAGACTAATAGGATGTTTAATGCTGATATTGAAAGTAACATAGATGTACTTTGAGAATTAGGCAGCAAATTACCCGGGCCAAGCCCAACTATTCCTCCAATAGTATAAATTAGTACCGAATCGGTAATTCAATCAATTCTAAATATATCGACATCAAACTTATTTGTGGGTGCTCGAATAAAGTTTCTTTAGAAGTAATGATATCCCATTTAAATATGACTAGCGGATATGCTAGGTTGTACAGTTCAGTTGTACTTGTACCGAATCCGGAGTCTTTGAGTAAATCAATTGGGTTTATTTAAAGCACTATTTCACAGAATACTTTTGTAAATATCTTTAGCACTAGCATTTGTTTTGAACTTCGAGCTGTTTAGAGGAAAATGGGGTTCAGTAGTAAGTTGTTGCCCGGGATAGTTTATGAAATTTGAAGCAAATGATTAGAGTGAGCATAGAAAGTTCTATGACGAAATTGGTACAAAAAATTGCTCGTCTTCTTCTCCCGCACCTGTTTTTTTTGCCAAAGTATCATGCCAATACCCCTCCTGAGTCAACTGAATCCAACCTAATGCTTATGCATACATTAACCATTTGCCCCGCAAATTTATATTATATATATATACACCCAGACTCAGAACAGTCAGAAGTTTATTTCACTTCACCTATGAGGGAGTCTAACATTAAATCATACTTAAAAAAATGAACATAGCATAACTTAAAGCCGTAAGTCATCCGATATTCTGAGTATCGCTCGTTTCAATAGGTAAAAACGACCAGGCACGCGGGGTAACCATGGCAACCGCAGTTCATGATATACTTAACGATTGGAATGTACGATTAGCTAGCTATTCCTCGTTTGTTGAGTACAGTGGGCTAGTTGGTTTGTGCAGTACTGCATTCGGAAAGACATCACTAGATAATATTGATGAATTCAGAACCATACAATATCGGAGAGGTGGCTGAAATATACACTCGTTACCCACAGTCTGACGTATTCTGGAGACAAATTCATGAGTGAAGACGTAATGGAAATAGTATAAGAAGTAATAGAACAGTGAGATACTTTTGGGAGCATTTGACAAGTGTTCTAGAAAAGAGGCTAAAATGTGGATCTAGCTGGCACATTTATTGAGACTTTGCAAAACACTGACCCAATATGCCGCCTGATTTACATTCTTAATTTGATGGGAGAGCGAAAAATATATGAAGGTATTAAAATATATCACACAACTTACTAAATAAAATTCATTTGTTTAATCTTAATAAAATAAGTGTGTAGCTCCAGTGTAGTTTTGGCTTCTCCTTGGTAGTCAGACTGTGGTCACTTTTTGTGCATAGTCTACTGGCAGACTGATACAGCTATTGTGAGATAGAAACTGACAAACACATTGGACCGTATGGCAATTTCGCTGTTATCTTGTCCATTCCAAAATGTATACGGTAATTATAAAAATGTGATTATATCATGAGTTTTTATCAAGCATTGAACATAATATAGGATCAGTGTTTTGTTAAAAGCGGAAAGCCATCTATGCAATTTTAGTCCAGAAAAGAAAGAAATATAATCTATCCATATTAACTTCCATGCCAATTTTTGAAAATTCAGTTTGCATAAAACTTTTCCTGATATCATATTTTTCTCCAACTAGATCTGTAAAACTTTTACATATCAAGATATTGTGGTTGATCTGTAACATAGTGAGTTTTGTTAGAATTTTTCAATCACCTGTAACTTGAACAATGAATCTAACTCTTGATGATTATGATTTGAAGCATTGTGGAAAAATGATGATGGCACTAAATGAGTAAGTAATAAAAATTCATGTAAACTTCATGTAAATATTTACTGCATTGTTAATATTGTATTGCAATTTAGACTGAGAATATTCAGGATCTCATGAAATATAATACCAAATCCTGATAGGGCATTAGAATCTTCTTGCTTATTTTGCAAGAGCTTTAAAAATGCATCTAAGCTGACAGAATTATTACACTCAAAATACACAAAGAATATTCTGCCGAGCAAGTTTATACAAATAAAAGTTAGTGTGGACTATAAACCTAGATATTATATACCTATGGTATTGGTGGAAACGTTCAGGATTCAGGATAATTCAAAAATCCAATAATAAATGAATGTCTAATAATGCTAAATCATGGCACGGAATCATAATAAGAAACAATATAGGTGGTGGATGATTAAGTAAAGGCCGTGTCATTAAGTAAATTGAATTTCTTAGTCTTAATATTTAATTTGTTGATAACATTTTTATATTTTGCTCAATCAGTAATGTAGTCAGGTATTTTAGAAGTATTTATCTAATTTTATTACTTGAGATTTGAAAATATATATTTTCGTAAATCACTGTGTATTTAATGTTTGCGCACATGAAATTTGAGTTAAATTTTCTGGTTTTTTATCATTGCTTGAAATTTAATTAAATAATTTTATAACTTTATGAAATATAGTATCACGCCTTCCTACAGCATTTTTCATCCTGCTTCAAAAATAGTCTGGTCCTATCCAGAAGTGCAATAGAAAAAAACTGGCAGAATTATTACCCTCTGATTAGGCTATGATTATTCTGTAAACCAGATTTAGAGTGTGTATGAAATATTCAAATTAAATGCTATATTGGGATTTATTGAGAACTGTTGCAAGTCAGTACTTTCAGGTTTGGGTCGTATTCTTCATTTTCTTATATTCACAAGATTATCACTGAAGCGTAACTGGCCAGAATAATCTCATTTCAGTACCATTGCTTTTTTGCATTGCATCATTCATGGGTTCTGGGATGCATTTACTCCATTATGAAATTGACTCATTTATAATAGCATTACTGGTCAGAATGTGAGTTATTTTTAGTTCAGGAGTGGATTCTATTTCAGTATCGTTTGGCAATTTCTATCACTTGAACTAATTAAAGCATGACGGAATATTTTGTATATGAGGTACTACGCTATTATTGCCCCACCACTAATTTCTTTATATATTTTCTTTGATTCAGTTTATTTTAAGTTAGATAAGGATAAGTTAGGTGATTAGCATAGAAAGGTGGGACAATATAACTTTATTCTAACTTGGATAAAATGAAACAACTTAAAATAATGGTGGGACGATAGAAGGATGGTATTGAAAATTAATCAAGTGTGCAATTCACATATATTTGGCAAAAAGTATGTGTTGATTTCATCTGTAATGTTTAAATTATAGATTAGTATACATGAACAAGTTATTGGATGTTGGCAGCAATATATTTATGAGTCATTCATGCTGAATTTTTATGATGGTTTGACGCTTGTCAAATATCTTTCGTTCTTAATAAGGCCCTGCGCAGGCATTACTGATATCCAATAATACATAGACGACCAAGAATTTCAAAAAAATTTTTTGATTTATGTATCCGAATCATTGTACCCTTGGTGAGGTGGCAGGCATAAAATTCGAATTAGAGTATGTAAACTGTGATACCAACAGTGCTAAGTGTAACGTTTTAACTAGAGCTCGTTACTGTCTTTTTAAATCGATACCGATACTGCTAGTTTTCTAAAACTAGGCCGATATCGATGTTTCCTCACATAAAAAGATGGCTACAAGCAGGGCTGGGGAGCTGGTTTGAAATCATGATGGCTCCGGCTCCAGCTCCGGAGTCGCAGTGTATTCAATCTTTAGCTCCAACTCCGGCTCCGGAGCTTCATTTTTTTATGCCGGAGCTGGCTCCAGCTCCGGCTCCATACGGTAGCCATTATCAGTAGTGCAGCCCAATAACGCATTTTGCTAATTGTTTTCTAAGTGTGGCATGTTATTTAGGCTGTAAACACCCTTCAAGTCGGTGTCATGATAATTCCTTTTGGTTCCTGCATGTAACTTGTGAATCCACTGAGAGTTATTATATGCTGTATTTCCGGGCGAATCGGTCTACCCAGCATATAAGGGTTTTACATATAACCCCACAATAAGACAGGCAGGAAAATCGGCTTCTGGAATGGTCGTAGCGTTTGCGCATTCGGTAAAATAGCTCATAATGACTTTTTCTACCACATAATATTTAACCCATAATAACTGTCTTTTTATTTTAATTTAATTGTGTTCAACATAACTGGCAATCATGCCGGCCAAATAAAATCTGTCGTGGGTCATTCTAAAGCAAAACTTATGGTGTTTTCTGTTTTATTTTTAGTATTTTATAATAATGTCGCTTTTTAATCAGGAAAATTTGGTTTGCGTATTGACTTCTTTATTTATCTTAGAATTTCATCACCGATGATTATGTAATAACTCGTTTTCTCACAAATATGGTGCGCGACACAAAACATATGTCTTGAGAAATTGTGACTAAGGGAAAAATAAACACTGAAATAAAAAAAGTTATGGCCTAATGTTTATGGCGACGAAAACAATTGACGCTTTTCACGAAATGCAACGCACATGTGATAGTAACGGCAATAGCCCTTCAACTCATGATAATTTAAACTGGCCTGACGGGGAGGCAGTATTTTATGGTCCAAATTGAATGAGCAGACCCAAAATAATGGAAATTACAATCGTCACCCAATTAGATGCCGTCCCCCTCTCCCAAATCAGGCCAAAAGTTGGTTCTAGAATCGAGGCGTTTTCATAATTATCAGCGATGAGATGTTAAAGATAAATAGAGAAGTCAATTCGCAAGCCGAATTTCCACATTGGAGAGTTATTATAAGATACTAAAATGAAAAGGAAAACACTATAAACTTTGTTCTAGGTGACTCCCAACAGCTAAAAAAAATGCCTTGTTAATCTCATTATTTTTTTTGCCTACGACATATTATTTACCGGTTAACTTTGAAAATTATACAGTCACTAAAATAAATCTAAACGCAATCAATCTTACTCGCGATATACTTTTTATATATTGATGAGATATTTCTCCAGAACATGCTATGTTATGGATCAAAACAAGATATAATGGGGCTCTTTGCCATAAATTTTTATGCCAGGGGACTGCTGCAGTGCATTTTGGAGTAGTTAAACCTTTCTTTTGTCGTAAAACGACTCAATCTCGAGATACGTTGAACAGAATTGAAGACATTTGAAATGGATTGGATATTCAACGCCACGAAAAAATCATAATATGTTACATGGAAATTCCAAAATCACTTCTTCAAAAATCCCTGGCCATTAGGGTTTTTGAGCTTGACCGCAATCATGAAAAATTGCAGCTTAGTGGAAATGAGAATCAAAATTTTGATAAAAGCGAACCGCTTCAAATTTTGATAAAAAAATAAGGAACTAAAATTTTTAAAATGAATTATAAGCTGAAAAGAAAAGATTTTATCATTTGTAACGCTATCAGAAAAAAATTATAAAACAAAAAATGAGATATTTTGGAGCCTGGAGCCACTAAATTTTTGGTAGCTCCAGCTCCGGCTCCAGCTCCATCTGTTATGAAAAGCTTGGCTCCAACTCCGACTCCGGCTCCATCAAAATGTAACGGCTCCATGGCTCCAGGCTCCGACTCCAGCTCCGGCTCCCCAGCCCTGGCTACAAGTAACAAGCAACACTCTGAGAATTCTGTGTTTTTTACTTGTAAAAGAAATAAAATTTAAAACAAAATTTTCAACTCATGCGATGATGTTTTCTTATTGGCCTTTTCTGTTGTCATAGTGCAGTATCTATACACTTCCAAATAAACTTAGCTTCGGATGCAGGGTTTCCTAAATCAGTTATTTTTTCATTGAGCAACATAATACACAAAGCTTACTGTTCCGGGTTAGGGTGGCTCAAGTGAAACTTGAGTTAAACTTCTGCAATTTGTAAACAATATTGTACTTGTCAAGTGTCAGTCTAGTAAAAACATTCGAGATTTCAGTATTTGGGTTATTGAAGGATTATTAGCCAGAGTTATTCTATCAGCTCATGTCTCAGTGGTTGCTTATGTACAGCCTTGTTCAGAGGAAATGTGTTATTCACTTTAAGAAAGTGATATAGAGTGAACAAATATTTCATGTGTAACTCTGTCCCACTTACAAGGCATATTCTCTATGTAAGTCTGTTGACTGTTGTAAATTATTAACTTATCATACAACGCACGGTACCAGGTAATAAGACTCTCAGCGATATTGTGTAAATATATTTGTAGCCTTTGTTCTCGGACAATATTTATTGTTGTATCAGGCATGAAGACAATTTAATTACCTTCGATTGGAACTGGATTAATTCAGGACCAAACAGAAGTTCATGTGATGTCCTCGTAATAGTTTGACGTCACAGAATTCTTTACGATCGACATCAAATATTGAAATCTGTTATAACAGCGCGTAGCCAGGTAGCAGTTTGCATATTAATATAGTATCGCAATCGCAAAAATTAGATTCTGTTGTGATCTACTAGACTTTGTGAAAGTGCTTAGTAGTATATAATGTTTTGTATTGTGAAGCTAATGCCATACCTTGAACCGCATTAGGTTCCATTAGCAGCGTTGCGTAATCCAAATCGTGAAGTATGAGTTGGTAATGAAATTTGATATAATTATCCTGCATTTCAGCATTCAGACAAGCAATTATCGAGAAAAAATGCTTTTATGGGGTAAATTTTATTGATATTGGTGGGAGGAATTGATTAAAAAGGCAGGTGGTGCTTTCCACAAAGCTACGGTTCTCTGATAATTACTTTTTATTTAATTTTTGCTGGAATATTTAAGAGGGTAAATTTGAAACTTTGAAATGAAAAATGAGTTCTCTTGATGCATACAATTTAATACACTGTGGAAAAATGATGATGGCACTTAACGAGTAAGTACATAGAATTAAACTTGAATTTTCTGATCAGTTAATATTGCATTCATTCTGATTGAGCATATTCAGAGCTTGGTGTAACCTGATGGCACACCTTGAAATGAATTGGAACTATGTTATTACGAATTTCTGGTTTCATGTAAGATTTAAAACGGAGATTTTTAACATTTTTTTGCAATTTTGAAAAATCATCAACCAATTCTTGCTCACACCTTCTGGAATTGCTAAAATTAGTATTGTTTCCGTGTTCAAATACTCAATCATTGTCACCAGGGTGTCCTTAAAATCCCTTTATAATTTTAATTTTGTTATGAAGTCAGTTCTCAATATATCTTAGCCAAGTTTGTTGATTTTGTATCAGTAATTGTTTAAGTAGTACTTCTGTGAGGGCCAATATTTATATATGATATCGATAAATTGTCTTTTCAATTCAAATTTTTTTTTTCAAGTCTTTATTGACACCCAATATACGGGGTTTCCAAAACGTTTCGCCCGATTTTATTGTAATAACAAATGTAAATTTAAATAAATTTTATTAAATGATAATAGATAAGTACAACATCCAACACCTATAAAATCAAATCCAATACAGGTTGACTATAAATCTTTTTACAAATAAAAAATAAATTATCATTTGGTTTTAGAAAATTTATGCCCGGGTGAAACTTTTTGGACACTCTGTATGACTGTATATATATTCAATATTTTCATGTATCACGATCCAGAATTCTCGCACTCCCTTGGAACAGTTAGCGCACCACTTGTAGTGCATATGAGATAATCGAATTATTTCACACTTTTCCCTGGGGCAAAAAATATTAATTCACTAATAAATAGAAGACTGTTATAAGTTTTCATACCAACAAAAAAAAATTTCTGATATTCTGTGATTTTTCGAACATTTTCGAATTGGAATATTGACAATATTGTGAAGATTAAAAATTTTAGTTAGATAATCGAATTGTTTGAGCTTTTCTGGTCCTGACGGCAAATATGAATTTATCAATGAATAGAGTAATAATATAATAACTAATCGAATCAAAAAATGTGGTAATATCTTGCAATTTTTTTAATTCAACTGCTAACAGTTTTGTTAAAATTAAAAATGTTGGTAAGATAACTAGATCTTCCGGTCCCGGGGGAAAGAATATAAATTCACCAATAAATAGAGGACAAGTATGGGAACTTATTGCAACAACAAAAATTGTGGTGATATTCCGCGATTTTCGAACTTTTTCGAGTTTGAATATTAACAATTTAGTGAAAAATTGAAAATTTTTGGAGTAATAATCGAATTTTTTTCGAGCTTTACTGGTCCCGAAGGCAAAAATTTGAATTTACCCATGGAACAAAGAAATTTATTGCAATGAAAAAATTGGACATACCGCGATTTTGTGATTTCTCAAACGTTCTGTAAGAGTTAAACGAAGACGATCTGGTATCAAATCTTTCACGGTGCCGCCTCTTTGCTACAATCGTTAGGGAACGAGAAAATTGCTAAGCAATTGGTATTTAAGGTGAACGCGATTTTTCATACATCTCAAATGTTTCTTGGCAATTTAGCATGGGTAAATTTATGATAGTCATCTTTCCACGGGTAAATTCGTTGAGCTCCCAGAAAAGTTTGAAAAATCGCGTTATGTCCATTTTTTGATTGTTATAAGTTCTTATATTAATATTATTAATATCAAGTTTTCGGCCCCGAGACCGAGAAAGTTCAATAATATTTGAATACCTTAAAAACATATGTTTACAAAATCACCAATATTCGAACCTCATGAAGTTTGAATTGAAGAAGTTTCGGATGTTTCAACTTTTCAGATTGTTTTGTTGTAATAAATTGCAGTATTATTTCCAAATCAGTATCTATAGATTACTCTGAAAGTATTTTTTGTGTTTTAAAGTACATTTTATTTTGCACGGAAACACGTTAGTATAAAATTTGGGAATATAAGTTTGATATTTGCCTGGCGCGGTGGTTGCGGAACCCCAATTAAACAAAATATTTGGTCATATTCGAATTCGGATTGAATGAAAACTTGCGTAACCTCTTGACTGTACTGGCGGAACCACGGTTAAAAACACTGCCATATATAATAGGGTTTTAGTCGGTCAGTCAAAATTTTATATCAGTAAAAAAGCATAAGATAAATAAAGGGCGGTGGGGTAAATACTAAAGAAAACCCAACTTGTTGTCACCTAACCTAGGAAGATCGCATTTAAGGAATATTAATGTTTGAGTTGAACCCGAATTCATGGGTCTTCAAAACGATTTATTGTTTAACTCTTCCTGTAGATAAGTTGGACTGATAATTAAATAAGGATGTATATAGACTTCTCACTTCTTAAAATATACATGGAAACTGCTCATTCATGCAATATTATTCGTTTTAATTTCAGACAGAGAGAGAGCAAAGTCCATAGTGACTTTGCAATTATGGTTGGCGATGAGAAAATACCAGCACACAGGAATGTTCTGTCAGTCGGATCAGATTACTTTCGTGCAATGTTGTCTCATGAAGTGAGTGTTACATCTTAATTGATCAAGTAATAGAAGATATTCTCACGTAAAACTAATATTTTTTAGACCTATTATTTTTCTCTGTCCTATTGCAAAATATTTATACCTGATTAACTAAACCAAGATCATCAGAAAATCATTTTATGAAAATATTGAATATATATCTAAGTCAGCGTTTCCCAACCTTTTTTGGTCGCGGACTATTTTCTCACCCCCAAAAACCTTAGCGGACTCAACGTGCGTTTATTGCAAGAAGTAATAAAACCAAACACAACAGAGTTTCAAAATCGGAAATTCGCCAAAATTACGCTTTTGTTAAAAGAGCCAACTTTTTTAGTGGATAAATGGCCTTCCCTGTCGCACAATATTCAATCCATGACAAACGACGAGAATTTAAAATATATTTTTTATTTAATTGTGTTCATGGTCACTCGCGGTTGCGTCAACATATAACATGATGTAAGCATTACTTCTTTAAAATACCACGGCAATCTGCGAACATAATAATGTGAGAATATATTGCCTGATTATACTTAGTTTTGTTACATATTTTTTGCAATCTTGCGAATTTGTTATCGCCATTAGAATAATCTATAAATTTTTAGAACGTATAACTTGATTTAGTACTTAATAAAAACGCGGCTGTGTTGACGAAATAAAAGCAATACTACTCAGAAAATATCATTACAATCCGTGGACACAAAAATGCGTGGTAAAGTGCCCGATTATATTTTGTTTTGATTCTTATTTTTGTGAATTCGACAAATCTGAGCTATTCGTACAACACTTACGGCGCTCCAGTACTGTACATACAAATGTTGAGGCAGTGAAGCAAAAAATTCTAAGGGAAATTTTGCGATTTGCAATGTATAAAAAAGCGATTTTAATCGGTGTCGGACCATCATAAAACAAAAGTCATGGTGTTCTCCGTTTTATTTTTAGTATTTTGTATTGCCGCTTTTCAATTTAGAAAATTTAGATTGCCACCATTGACACCTACCAAAAAAAATTTCCTCGTTGTTCGAGCTCCGAGAAACATCACTTGGGTATCTATCCAGTATCGACTCGTGTTCTGGTCGAAAATCCGAAGTGAGTTCCAATCCTTTGATTAAAGCGACGCGCAAGTGACCTGTCGCGTCACCTGTTACCAAATTTCGAATAGTAAATTGCTATTCTAGTAGTTGAATATTCGAATATATGGGCAGCCCTGCTCAGTATCCAGTAATTATTGACTCGATTGATGACATGTGAATAAACTTGCTTTTTATGTTTTATGTAAACTCTAACGTAAATCGTAACATGGCTGATGGTTAAGTTTCGCAGTGAATTTCTGGCTCGTTGCGGACTTATTCAAACGCCCCGCGGACTCATTTGAGACCGCGGACTCGGGTTGGGAAACACTGAGTAAATCATTTATTGTCCTATGTTCCAGAATGTTGAGAGCAGCACTGGCATTGTGGCGATGAAACAAGTTCAATACTCAAGTGTGAAAACTTGCATCAATTACATTTACACTGGTAATTTTCCCACTCCTGGTCACGAGGAGCGTGAACAATTGATGTTTACCGCCCATATGCTCCAATTACAAGGTGAGTGCTTTATGGTAATTCTCTTCAATTGAGCTTGGGCAATAATCTGACTTGGACTTAGCTTTTCCAGTGGTAGAGCATTTGCTGTGATGACCAACAGCAATATATTGCTGTTTAAAATATGCGTGAGTGTCGTGTGTGAAACCTGTTTGGAATTTTTTTCTGTCATTTGAACTAAGGATATTTACTGGAGTGACAAACTGAGTGTCTGTATTTTATACGTGAAATCCCTACTATTTGTTTCACATACAGGTATGTGTGACAAAATTGCAATATCTCTTAAGGAAGAACTGAGTCCACAATCGTTTTATTCAACAAAGATGATTGCAAACACTTTTAACTGCACTGGTTTAGTTGAAAGTTGCAACAAATATGCTCTGAAGAATTTCCAATCTATTGTTGCTGAAGATGATTTCAAACATTTGGATAAGGATTATGTTTCCTTTATGGTGGGATCAAAAGAAGTCAATGTAAGAAGTGATATAAGTGTATTTTTCGGAATTGCTCTCCTCTGTGGGCTGTTTTTTTCATGCCTATATCAACATAAATCTAATGTAGCTTGTTAACTCTTTTATATAGAGTTAATATTATTATTCATCATAGATAGCCCATGAAAAACAATTGAAGCTATAAAATCTTTCCAGATGTTCTTTAAATTGGATTTATTTTCAATTGCAGGCCTCTGAAGCTGTCAAATGCAAAGCTTTGATTATCTGGACCAACTTTGAATCAGAGACTCGGGCATCGACGTTTGGAGAATTATTTGTTAATCTGGATTTGACAAAAATATCAATAAAATATCAAAAGTTTTTGGTGGAGAAAGAGGTTGGGAAATAAGTTTATTGACATGATAGTTTGATAATCAACTAAAGAACTTGCTAAAGTCGGATTATATTTCTTGCATTGTGGTTATTTTTAGTAAATATGTTCCATTTTTCTTTGTGACTTGATAATATCTGCTTTAATATCATTGGCTACTGTAAAAAATGTTATAAAGAGCATATACCTTGAAAACCTCAAAAACAATAACCGATACATAGTTGAAGAGAAGGAAAATAGTCAACTTTTAATTCAATCTAGATTCCTTTTCCCCCCACAATGGCTGCTCTTACAGCAATGTGTGAAATACCATCCAACCCGATGGTTTTGTTTTATATCATTATGTACTCACAGTCACAGACAATTGATTTTATGTTTCAGCCATTGGTATTTAATTCTGCACGTTGCCTCAGAGCACTTTTGAAAATTTTAACTGGCGGATCACAAGTTGTGGCTGAAGATATTAACATCAAAAGTATTGGTTAGTCGTGATAATTCGAAAGTATTGTATAAATTTGGAAAATTACATAAGTTTACACATTGCTGGTTTTGAATATTATGATCCACCTTCAATTCATTAGGATGGGAGTTCCGTTTTAAAGACTTGTGGTTGGTTCAACATTGTTTATACCGTTTTATTTTTATAAATAACCTACGAGATTAATTCCCGCTATTTCACCCATTCATGCTCCTGATTATGCTTAAGTTTCTCATTATTTTTCAGTGATTGCTGTTTTTGACAAAAATTCAAAATCAATTCAAGCATTTAATCCAAGGATAAAAACTTGAAGAAAACTGCAGGTTTGACACTGTTATTGGTTTATTGTTCATTATATATTCTTGTAGTATTCGAATTTTACAGATTAAAATATGTTTTCTAGCTAATATATGCATAACACCAAATGTTACTACGTAAATTTGAAAAAAAAAATTGCTGTAGTTTTAAAGAAAACATTGAAAGGCAATTCCAACCAAAGCTGTTGCTTGAATTATCTTCTGAATGTTCCGACTTTGGTGCATGTAAGTAATATTGTATAAAACAACTTCCTTGCATGCAATAAAAAATAATCGACTCTCAAGTCTCTACTCTTAAATTGGCGAAACTTTAACCACAGAAAGTTGAATGCATAGAAGCAATTTGGGTGAAACTTTTAGAATAACTCATGACTCGTCGGTGTCCTTTTTAATTTTTTTTTCTTCTAACCCCAAATGCATAGTCATGTTGTGTACACAGTCCATAATTTCCAATTCAAGTTGGTCAAGCCAAAATAATAAAGTTTTGCGTAACCATGATTTTATCATCTAAATTTTATTTGAATGGTTCTCAACAGGACATCAGTGATGCATTTGTTGGCGAAGGCTTCACCGCTGTTGTACTCGGTAACAGCATATGTGTTCTTGTGCTTGATGGAACCAATTATCAACTGAACTATACTGATACCAATGCTACATGGGTTAAACTGGCAGATCGGAGGACAACAAAGAAACGCGTGGCTGCTGTTGCATTTGAAGGTTGGTATTTCATAAGCAAGTTTAAAGGTGAATCCGGGAGCGTATTTTTGATTTTAATCTCCAAATTTCCCATGGTTGCTATTATAAATGAAATGTCACCGTTACCTCAGTATAACTTATTCTGAATCATATGTAACGTAGCGAGGGTTCAGGGCGACGGCGATCGACAGTGTAGAAAAAGATCGTCTTCCTCGCTAACGACTATAGAACTGTCTTTGGAATACAGGCGAAATACTCGGCTATTCTGTTGTCCCAATACACATATAAATCAGTCAGAAACATCAACACCGATACAACGGTGCAATTGTGTTTTACGAGTGTTCAGACACTCAGATAGTGAGATCAGTCAGATGTATTCAGATATACTCAGATTCAATAAGATGATACATGTGCAGTGCAACTGAAGCAATATATATGGAATGAATATAATGAATAAAGTAACAAATAAAAATACGAGGCGATAATGTACAAACGCACAACGTAAGAGCGTCATACGACAGAACGAGAGAACTAACGTATACGTATTAGTAACCAACGTAAGACATACGTATTACGTTACTTGCTCTGTAGTATTGATCAACTGCAGTGAGAAATTGTAATGAATTGAAATAAAATTGGATTGCTGTTCTTTTATCAGTTCAGTCCTGATATTACTTGAGATATTTTAGCTTCAAAGTCACAAAAAATCAAACACGCAACACAATGATCTTTCACCCATGATTATCCTAACATGGTTTGAACAGTATGCCACTAGGTATTCTCATACAAATAAGCCAAATATTTAATTGGGGCAGAATTTTAACCTGAAATCACATAGGCCTGAAAACTTAGATAAAGTCCGTTTACTTATGCGAGTGTTTGGACGGCTAGAGTTGAAACTAGTGGTGAACTACTTACTGTTAGTGAAATGTAGTAACGTTCCCGAAGCTGATTCGGTGATTACTCATTTCTTCATCTTTACATTTTAATCGATTTATATATTTTCTAACAACCAGGTTCAATTTATGCATTTGATAATTCTGGCAACGAAAGTAAAGCAGTTGAGAAATTTGATCTATCTGATGGAACTTGGTCTCATGTGACTGATAAACCTGCGGGAGGGTATTATACATCTGTGGTTGCTGCAGGAGGTAAGTTTGATGAAAGATGATGTTATACTGCAAAATATACACTGTTTGTGTTGTCATATGATTTATAGTAAATACGTTGGGTAGTAGTTTGGTATGTAATTGCCTGTGATGGTTGTGGACTGATGCAGCAAAGTAAGTTCTTAAACTGCTGCTTAGGCGCCTTAAGAATGTCAGAGGCGCCATTTAGCAATGTATCATTTATTTATTTATTTCGCCAAATTGAAATTCAAGTTAATTAGCAAAACTACTACTGATGCCTGTCTCGTCATGATGTTAATTGGATATGAGATTACCTGAAACCAGAGATGTCAAAAACGAATCGACTATTTGAATTGATTTGTAGAAATTAGTTGAATATTTTAACTTCATTATTTTAAGAATGTGACCGATGTAAAATTATCATTTTAATTAGGCAATTCATTTTGCTCAGTATAACGTATAAAACCTGCATTTCATTCAAAAATGATAAAATGGACTAGCCTACGATATTTTCTATATTCACAAATATTATTATTCATTATTTTTATTCTATTGTGCATACCGCAACCGTAATGATGCAAGAACTTGCTTGCATCAAAATTGTTTCAGAGAGTTTAATTTACTAAACATAGTGATAATCTCTTCAGTGATGCTATATTAATTTTTTATTAAATGTTTACTCAGGTTTCATTTACTGTATTGGAGGGTTCAAGGAAAAAAATCTATCAAATGCAATGAAATTCAATCCATCAGATTCAACATGGACAACACTTCCTTCAATGCCGACTGCAAGATATGGTGCAGCTGCAGTTGAACTTGATGGGAAGATTTATGTCATGGGTGAGGATTTACTCGCCAATACATTTTGACCTGCGCATACACTGCAAACCAGGTGTTAGAATATCAGCTTTTGAGATTTACAAATATTATAGAATTTAACTACTATCTTTTTCCCTTTATTTTGTAAACTAAATTATTTTAAATTTGAGTGGTGGACTTGTGAAAAGGCTTTGCGTGCTATTTCTTTTCATTGTGAACTTTATGATATGTTCACATTTACGTTATTTAGGAGAGTTGGTTGAAGAATATAATATATTATCTCGTAGATTTAGAAGAATTTTGCAAAACAAAACTTGCAAAATTTGGAAACATATTTAATGCAATGAGTGCGTTCCCCAAAATTAAAAAATATTTTTTGTTCAGCAATTGGAAAATTATAAACTTGTTCTGCGGCAAGATATTGCATAGTGATTCAAATAAAATAAATCTCCAATATAATTTTTTTTGTTATCATTGTTTGAGGTGGAAACAATAATGGCTTGAACGTTGTGGAATGCTTTGATACAGTTGCTGAAACATGGACCCCTGTTGCCAGATTAAACAATTCAAGATTTTATTTCAAAGCCTGTGTTGTTGGAGGAAAGATATTTGCTGTTGGAGGGTGAGTTGGACCTTGATTTATGAAACTACTTGCCATTTAAATAGAAATAAGTAAAAATTCAACCTATGTATAACTATATATATATCAATTTTTGAGTTTGCTATTTAATACTTATATTCCGTTGTTTTATTTTGCAGGAATAATTCCAAGAACACAATAGAAAAATATGACCCCGCTGTAAACTCCTGGAATGTTGTTGAAACAATGGATGGGATAGAAATTAAGGTTTTCGCTTCCATCGCTTTGACTGTTCCCTTCTAGACAATAGTTGAATATCCATCACAAAAGCATTTTGACTCTGCTATGATTTAAATATAACTCAAACTATATTTGATATATTTTACTGATCAAAGGTTGGATTAAAACTGAATTTCGAATATATCAATAATTTGATTTGGTATTGTATATATATAAGTTTATTCAGCGATACGCAAACAATTCAAGTCAATATATCAGTCAATATTAGAACCTGAGAGTACTTGAATTCCATTGTTGAGACTACATATATCTAGAATGCATAGTGTGTGTGTTAGCTCCAGTAATTTTTAATCTATTAATGATTTTGCTCTTTTAGTGTGATTTTCAATTGTAAATATAATTTTATTCAGAATAAATCAAACTATTTAAGCCAATATTAGAACCTGAGAGTAATTGGATTCCATTGTTGAGACTACATATATCTAGAATGCATTGTGTGTATTAGATCCAGTAATTTTTCTATCAATATTTTTTGCTCTTTTTCAGTGTGATTTTGTATTTTAATATAAATGTAAATATTTTATAATGTCACAACAGAAATAATTCAAGTCAATATTAGAACTTTATCGTAATTGGATTCCATTGTTGAGAATCTATTTATCCAAAATATATTGTGTGCATTAACTTCATAATTACTATATATAACCGTAAATATATACTACTACTAGATGTCCAACTCCGCTCGCCGTATAATAAACAAACAAAGGCGATGTTTGCACCTCCAAGTGGCGGGCGTCACGGTTGGTTTTGTTCAGACTAGAGGCTTAACGACGACGACGCTCCTGCATCACAGCTCAAAAACTAGCCCTGTTCATTGATGACTGATCGAAATATTTGCTGAAGGACGAAAAAATTCGATAAAAATGAACAAATAATTGTGAAAATGAAGACACAGTCTGTCTTGCAAATGACCAGGATGATGTGACAACTTCCTTGTCGAAAGGAAGCAAGGCATCAAAAATGCGATGCAGTGCAAAAAATGTCAGTCAGATGTAGGTAAAGTGGTGACGAAAATGAATACTTTGCACTTTACATAAAAAAAAAACGCTCAGTAGCACAACATTTTGGTCTCACTCCATCTCAAGTATTGTAGCTTTCACAGAAGTTTTTTCTACAATTGACCTATAATCAGGGCTGCCACAACGTCCTTATTTTTAGAATTTGTCCTTATTTTGAAGGTCTTTGTTTTAGGAAATGTTTTTGTCCTTATTTCTAAGAAACATCTTTATTTTGACATGTGTCCTTATTTTTAACCTTATAAATGAATATACCAGTAAATTAAGATTTAAATTTAGTTTAGATCTGGAACTTCATAAGAGATAAAATGAGTAAACGTAAAAAATTTGCTGTGATGATTATGAGGAAGAATTCAACGGCTTCGAACGAAACGAAGGGACAGTGATTTCCGCCTTGCAGCTTTTGTGAATGTGACAACAATCTGGAATGCATAGGTAGAGCAGCAATTTCTGTTAATAATGCAACCCAGAAACACAAGGCTCTGCTCAAGAAATTAATCAAACCAATCTATAAATAACTTTTTAAGAGTCAATGATTATACAAAGGCTATCTCAACACATGCAAGCAGCTGTAATTTATTTCCATCATCACATCATTGAACATCCGACACTTGATATAAAAGAAAAATATTTTCAAATCATTCATGAGCGAATACCTATTAAACAATGTAACTGAATGTCAAGATGTAACAACACTACTTGAGAAAGTATTCCAAAAATTTGAGCAAATGTATACGCAAAGTACTGCAGCCAAAATAATAACAACAAGATGGACAATAGGACTCATGGAATACGAAACCAATTGAAGAAACACAGCAGCTAGAACGAAGATTAAGATATATGTGATTAAAGTCAAGTTTCCGTACTCCTGAAGTTTGCGTACCAAGAAAGGAGGACACCGGAACGTAGTATGTGTACCACGTTAGGGTTAGGCCAAAATGTCCTTATTTTAGTTCTATTACGAGTTCAGGGACTAACCAAGTGAGTTTCGTAGTATTTGTACCTAAAAGTATGGCCTAACCTGGTACACATACCATGTTCCGTTGTCCGTCATCTTGATACACGTATTTCTGGAGTACCCAAGGTTTTTTCTCAATAATCCATAGAAATACAAATTATTATTTTAATTACTAATGTGAAGAAACACTGAATATCAAGTTATATTAATAGTGGTATTGATGTTTTTTAAGGCTTTGGGAGTGGTTCTTAGCTGGAGTAAAGAGGCAATTTAGGTTCTATCACGTGGACATTGCTACATATTTCTTTTTTTTTTTGCTGCTTTTCAATCAACTGGAGCACCGATGGATTCCCAGCCCTGCGACCTGCAAAATATGCATCTTTTAAACTGAAAATCTTTTGGCGATTCATTCAATATTTAGGGTGAGGGCCGACGGGCATAGCTGAAGATTTTGAAGGGGAGGGGTCTGAAATTTTTAATTGACAAGTTAGACCTAAACAGCTTGCAAGTCTGATCGCAAATGTTAGTTTATAATAGTCCCGATGGTCTAACTCTAAAAAGTGTTTCACGCCACGAAAAATTTATATGTATGATATAGTAGAACAATTTAGAAGACTTTTATCTCACACTTGAAGGGGGGTCTGACAAATGTTTGGTCTAATATGGTATATCACATGTTGAAGGTACCAGTATTTGAAGCCCTCCATACGGTGGGGAAGCAATGAAATGTTGTTGTTTTTTAAATATGACTACAGAATGTGTTGCATGTAGCTGTATAGCATTTATTTTGTTAAAAAATCCTTGAGCTAATCACCTGTTGTAGATTTCCAGTGTGTAAAATAATTTATGAAATTTTAGCTGATCTACTGCAGTCTTTTGTCTCCAGATGTTTCAGAGAGTAGTAGTAGATTTCCGTTTTTGAGGGAAGCCACGTCAGTAGTACTGTTGCATATGTCAAAAAAGGTATTTTGCAGTTTGCAAAACTTGGCGTTGCTTCAAATTCAGACATCTCCGAAATCCTAGCAACAGATGCAGCAAGAACCTACAAAGAAAAATTTTCCCTGTTCATCTGTTATTAATGACCTGAATACTGTTGGTAACTTTGGAAATAATAATCATGATCCAAGTATTTAAATGCTCAATAGAAGATAGATCTAATAAATACAAATGAATTAATACCCATAACAATTCTTTGTGCTATACCTGTGCATAATATTTACCAGACATTTTTATCAAGCTATTGAGTTAAACATGTTGGTCTGTTAGTTTACATGGCTGTTTCAAATGTTTTTTTTAGACATATTTTCAAAAATTCCTTCTAGTTGTGTTTCCATGCCAAAACCCCATCTGGTGACAGCAAATCAATCTTCAAAAGTGAGTTTCGAGACGTCTGCAAAAATTTATATTTTAGTTACGATATTTTGAAATAAATTGCCCACAACGATTGAACCTTGTCTACCATCTAAGCATGTATGTGTTTATATATAAGTATAACAGCCATTTCGACAAACTATTATTTGAAACAAAAATGTAAATACCCCACAAAACAAATTGGAATTAATAAAATGTAACGGTTACTGCTATTGATCACAAATCAAAAATTTAAAAACACTCGACAAAATAATTCAAAACTTTTTGGCACATCTAAAATTATAAATATATATATATGTTGAAGCCATGTTTAGATAATGGCAATACTAGGTATCCAATTTACGTGAAAATGGTTATTAGTACCAGCCTGAAATCAAGCAAAATGGATTATCATGGCAAACGCAAAACACCTCTTATGTTGTAGTATGCAGCTGGTGACTTCGTATACAATGACAGAATGCTGGAATGAGTCTGGGAAAAAATTATCAAGATCAGTAGAACTCCATCATAAAACACTAATTAATTGAAGTTAAAATATGTGTGTTTAATTTATGTTTTTCATGCAGACGTCACAATTTCAATCACCCATCAGTCAATTTATATTCTTGCTTACTTCTTTGATCACACAGCATAAATCCTCGCACTGCAACTTTTTTATGATCCGAAAATACACATATCTCTTATCAAAATTTACATTTCTTGACAAATTATTACTGTATTGGGTACCTATAAGAACATTTACAACTTACTCTTTTTTATGCTGAACAATCGTAGCACAAAGCGGCTCTCTACTAGACTACATCTACTCATGGGAGCTTTAAAGTGAATTAAAAATCTTACTGTCAACGTGCTTTCGAGTGCTGAACCGGTCCTAGGGTCTTCCCACTCAATTGCTCACTCAAATCATCACAGCAAATTTTTTACGTTTACTCATTTTATCTCTTATGAAGTTCCAGATCTAAACTAAATTTTAATTTACTGGTATATTCATTTATAAGGTTAAAAATAAGGACACACGCCAAAATAAAGATGTTTCTTAGAAATAAGGACAAAAACATTTCCTAAAACAAAGACCTTCAAAATAAGGACAAATTCTAAAAATAAGGACGTTGTGGCAGCCCTGATTATAGGTCAATTGTAGAAAAAACATCTGTGAAAGCTACAATACTTGAGATGGAGTGAGACCAAAATGCTGTGCTACTGAGCGTTTTTTTTATGTAAAGTGCAAAGTATTCATTTTCGTCACCACTTTACCTACATCTGACTGACATTTTTTGCACTGCATCGCATTTTTGATGCCTTGCTTTCTTTCGACAAGGAAGTTGTCACATCATCCTGGTCATTTGCAAGACAGACTGTGTCTTCATTTTCACAATTATTTGTTCATTTTTATCGAATTTTTTCGTCCTTCAGCAAATATTTCGATCAGTCATCAATGAACAGGCCTAGTTTTCGAGCTGTGATGCAGGAGCGTCGTCGTCGTTAAGCCTCTAGTCTGAACAAAACCAACCGTGACGCCCGCCACTTGGAGGTGCAAACATCGCCTTTGTTTGTTTATTATACGGCGAGCGGAGTTGGACATCTAGTAGTAGTATATATTTACGGTTATATATAGTAATTATGAAGTTAATGCACACAATATATTTTGGATAAATAGATTCTCAACAATGGAATCCAATTACGATAAAGTTCTAATATTGACTTGAATTATTTCTGTTGTGACATTATAAAATATTTACATTTATATTAAAATACAAAATCACACTGAAAAAGAGCAAAAAATATTGATAGAAAAATTACTGGATCTAATAAACACAATGCATTCTAGATATATGTAGTCTCAACAATGGAATCCAATTACTCCCAGGTTCTAATATTGGCTTAAATAGTTTGATTTATTCTGAATAAAATTATATTTACAATTGAAAATCACACTAAACGAGAAAAATCATTGATAGATTAAAAATTACTGGAGCTAATACACACACTATGCATTCTAGATATATGTAGTCTCAACAATGGAATTCAAGTACTCTCAGGTTCTAATATTGACTGATATATTGACTTGAATTGTTTGCGTATCGCTGAATAAACTTATATATATACAATACCAAATCAAATTATTGATATATTCGAAATTCAGTTTTAATCCAACCTTTGATCAGTAAAATATATCAAATATAGTTTGAGTTATATTTAAATCATAGCAGAGTCAAAACGCTTTTGTGATGGATATTCAACTATTGTCTAGAAGGGAACAGTCAAAGCGATGGAAGCGAAAACCTTAATTTCTATCCCATCCATTGTTTCAACAACATTCCAGGAGTTTACAGCGGGGTCATATTCTTCTATTGTGTTCTTGGAATTATTCCTGCAAAATAAAACAACGGAATATAAGTATTAAATAGCAAACTCAAAAATTGATATACATATAGTTATACATAGGTTGAATTTTTACTTATTTCTATTTGAATGGCAAGTAGTTTCATAAATCAAGGTCCAACTCACCCTCCAACAGCAAATATCTTTCCTTCAACAACTAGGGCTTTGAAATATGATCTTGAATTGTTTAATCTGGCAACAGGGGTCCATGTTTCAGCAACTGTATCAAAGCATTCCACAACGTTCAAGCCATTATTGTTTCCACCTCAAATAATGATAACAAAAAAAATTATATTGGAGATTTATTTTATTTGAATCACTATGCAATATCTTGCCGCAGAACAAGTTTATAATTTTCCAATTGCTGAACAAAAAATATTTTAAATTATGGGGAACGCACTCATTGCATTAAATATGTTTCCAAATTTTGCAAGTTTTGTTTTGCAAAATTCTTCTAAATCTACGAGATAATATATTATATGCTTCAACCAACTCTTCTAAATAACGTAAATGTGAACATATCATAAAGTTCACAATGAAAAGAAATAGCACGCAAAGCCTTTTCACAAGTCCACCACTCAAATGTAAAATAATTTAGTTTACAAAATAAAGGGAAAAAGATAGTAGTTAAATTCTATAATATTTATAAATCTCAAAAGCTGATATTCTAACACCTGGTTTGCAGTGTATTCGCAGGTCAAAATGTATTGGCGAGTAAATCCTCACCCATGACATAAATCTTCCCATCAAGTTCAACTGCAGCTGCACCATATCTTGCAGTCGGCATTGAAGGAAGTGTTGTCCATGTTGAATCTGATGGATTGAATTTCATTGCATTTGATAGATTTTTTTCCTTGAACCCTCCAATACAGTAAATGAAACCTGAGTAAACATTTAATGCTATATTAAAAAATTAATATAGCATCACTGAAGAGATTATCACTATGTTTAGTAAATTAAACTCTCTAAAACAATTTTGATGCAAGCAAGTTCTTGCATCATTACGGTTGCGGTATGCACAATAGAATAAAAATAATGAATAATAATATTTGTGAATATAGAAAATATCGTAGGCTAGTCCATTTTATCATTTTTGAATGAAATGCAGGTTTTATACGTTATACTGAGCAAAATAAATTGCCTAATTAAAATGATAATTTTACATCCGTCACATTCTTAAAATAATGAAGTTAAAATATTCAACTAATTTCTACAAATCAATTCTAATAGTCTATTCGTTTTTGACATCTCTGGTTTCAGGTAATCTCATATCCAATTAACATCATGACGAGACAGGCATCAGTAGTAGTTTTGCTGATTAACTTGAATTTCAATTTGGCGAAATAAATAAATAAATGATACATTGCTAAATGGCGCCTCTGACATTCTTAAGGCGCCTAAGCAGCAGTTTAAGAACTTACTTTGCTGCATCAGTCCACAACCATCACAGGCAATTACATACCAAACTACTACCCAACGTATTTACTATAAATCATATGACAACACAAACAGTGTATATTTTGCAGTATAACATCATCTTTCATCAAACTTACCTCCTGCAGCAACCACAGATGTATAATACCCTCCCGCAGGTTTATCAGTCACATGAGACCAAGTTCCATCAGATAGATCAAATTTCTCAACTGCTTTACTTTCGTTGCCAGAATTATCAAATGCATAAATTGAACCTGGTTGTTAGAAAATATATAAATCGATTAAAATGTAAAGATGAAGAAATGAGTAATCACCGAATCAGCTTCGGGAACGTTACTACATTTCACTAACAGTAAGTAGTTCACCACTAGTTTCAACTCTAGCCGTCCAAACACTCGCATAAGTAAACGGACTTTATCTAAGTTTTCAGGCCTATGTGATTTCAGGTTAAAATTCTGCCCCAATTAAATATTTGGCTTATTTGTATGAGAATACCTAGTGGCATACTGTTCAAACCATGTTAGGATAATCATGGGTGAAAGACCATTGTGTTGCGTGTTTGATTTTTTGTGACTTTGAAGCTAAAATATCTCAAGTAATATCAGGACTGAACTGATAAAAGAACAGCAATCCAATTTTATTTCAATTTATTACAATTTCTCACTGCAGTTGATCAATACTACAGAGCAAATATGTGTAACGTAATACGTATGTCTTACGTTGGTTACTAATGCGTATACGTTAGTTCTCTCGTTCTGTCGTATGACGCTCTTACGTTGTGCGTTTGTACATTATCGCCTCGTATTTTTATTTGTTACTTTATTCATTATATTCATTCCATATATATTGCTTCAGTTGCACTGCACATGCATCATCTTATTGAATCTGAGTATATCTGAATACATCTGACTGATCTCACTATCTGAGTGTCTGAACACTCGTAAAACACAATTGCACCGTTGTATCGGTGTTGATGTTTCTGACTGATTTATATGTGTATTGGGACAACAGAATAGCCGAGTATTTCGCCTGTATTCCAAAGACAGTTCAATAGTCGTTAGCGAGGAAGACGATCTTTTTCTACACTGTCGATCGCCGTCGCCCTGAACCCTCGCTACGTTACATATGATTCAGAATAAGTTATACTGAGGTAACGGTGACATTTCATTTATAATAGCACACTGTCGATCGCCGTCGCCCTGAACCCTCGCTACGTTACATATGATTCAGAATAAGTTATACTGAGGTAACGGTGACATTTCATTTATAATAGCAACCATGGGAAATTTGGAAATTAAAATCAAAAATACGCTCCCGGATTCACCTTTAAACTTGCTTATGAAATACCAACCTTCAAATGCAACAGCAGCCACGCGTTTCTTTGTTGTCCTCCGATCTGCCAGTTTAACCCATGTAGCATTGGTATCAGTATAGTTCAGTTGATAATTGGTTCCATCAAGCACAAGAACACATATGCTGTTACCGAGTACAACAGCGGTGGAGCCTTTGCCAACAAATGCATCACTGATGTCCTGTTGAGAACCATTCAAATAAAATTTAGATGATAAAATCATGGTTACGCAAAACTTTATTATTTTGGCTTGACCAACTTGAATTGGAAATTATGGACTGTGTACACAACATGACTATGCATTTGAGGTTAAAAGAAAAAAAAATTAAAAAGGACACCGAAGAGTCATGAGTTATTCTAAAAGTTTCACCCAAATTGCTTCTATGCATTCAACTTTCTGTGGTTAAAGTTTCGCCAATTTAAGAGTAGAGACTTGAGAGTCGATTATTTTTTATTGCATGCAAGGAAGTTGTTTTATACAATATTACTTACATGCACCAAAGTCGGAACATTCAGAAGATAATTCAAGCAACAGCTACATTTGGTTGGAATTGCCTTTCAATGTTTTCTTTAAAACTACAGCAATTTTTTTTTTCAAATTTACGTAGTAACATTTGGTGTTAAGCATATATTAGCTAGAAAGCATATTTTTATCTGTAAAATTCGAATACTACAAGAATATATAATGAACAATAAACCAATAACAGTGTCAAACCTGCAGTTTTCGCCAAGTTTTTATCCTTGGATTAAATGCTTGAATTGATTTTGAATTTTTGTCAAAAACAGCAATAACTGAAAAATAATGAGAAACTTAAGCATAATCAGGAGCATGAATGGGTGAAATAGCGGGAATTAATCTCGTAGGTTATTTATAAAAATAAAACGGTATAAACAATGTTGAACCAACCACAAGTCTTTAAAACGGAACTCCCATCCTAATGAATTGAAGGTGGATCATAATATTCAAAACCAGCAATGTGTAAACTTATGTAATTTTCCAAATTTATACAATACTTTCGAATTATCACGACTAACCAATACTTTTGATGTTAATATCTTCAGCCACAACTTGTGATCCGCCAGTTAAAATTTTCAAAAGTGCTCTGAGGCAACGTGCAGAATTAAATACCAATGGCTGAAACATAAAATCAATTGTCTGTGACTGTGAGTACATAATGATATACAACAAAACCATCCGGTTGGATGGTATTTCACACATTGCTGTAAGAGCAGCCATTGTGGGGGAAAATGCATCTAGATTGAATTAAAAGTTGACTATTTTCCTTCTCTTCAACTATGTATCGGTTATTGTTTTTGAGGTTTTCAAGGTATATGCTCTTTATAACATTTTTTACAGTAGCCAATGATATTAAAGCAGATATTATCAAATCACAAAGGAAAATGGAATATATTTACTAAAAATAACCACAATGCAAGAAATATAATCCGACTTTAGCAAGTTCTTTAGTTGATTATCAAACTATCATGTCAATAAACTTATTTCCCAACCTCTTTCTCCACCAAAAACTTTTGATATTTTATTGATATTTTTGTCAAATCCAGATTAACAAATAATTCTCCAAACGTCGATGCCCGAGTCTCTGATTCAAAGTTGGTCCAGATAATCAAAGCTTTGCATTTGACAGCTTCAGAGGCCTGCAATTGAAAATAAATCCAATTTAAAGAACATCTGGAAAGATTTTATAGCTTCAATTGTTTTTCATGGGCTATCTATGATGAATAATAATATTAACTCTATATAAAAGAGTTAACAAGCTACATTAGATTTATGTTGATATAGGCATGAAAAAAACAGCCCACAGAGGAGAGCAATTCCGAAAAATACACTTATATCACTTCTTACATTGACTTCTTTTGATCCCACCATAAAGGAAACATAATCCTTATCTAAATGTTTGAAATCATCTTCAGCAACAATAGATTGGAAATTCTTCAGAGCATATTTGTTGCAACTTTCAACTAAACCAGTGCAGTTGAAAGTGTTTGCGATCATCTTAGTTGAATAAAACGATTGTGGACTCAGTTCTTCCTTAAGAGATATTGCAATTTTGTCACACATACCTGTATGTAAAACAAATAGTAGGGATTTCACGTATAAAATGCAGTCACTCCTATAATTCAAGGTTTGGTTTGTTGTAGTTTGTCACTTCAGTAAATATCCTTAGTTCAAATTACAGTGAAAAATTCCACACAGGTTTCACACACCACACTCACGCATATTTTAAACAGCAATATATTGCTGTTGGTCATCACAGCAAATGCTCAACTACTGACAAAGCTAAGTCCAAGTCAGGTTATTGCCCAAGCTCGATTGAACGTTCAACTTAATACGAAATGTCAATATAAGAGAATTATCATAAAGCTTCACCTTGTAATTGGAGCATATGGGCGGTAAACATCAATTGTTCACGCTCCTCACGACCAGGAGTGGGAAAATTACCAGTGTAAATGTAATTGATGCAAGTTTTCACACTTAAGTATTGAACTTGTTTCAGTGCCACAATGCCAGTGCTGCTCTCAACATTCTGGAACATGGACAATAAATGATATACGTAGATATATATTCAATATTTTCATAAAATGATTTTCTGATGATCTTGGTTTAGTTAATCAGGTATAAATATTTTATAATAGAACAGAGAAAAATAATATGTCTGAATATTAGTTTTACGTGAGAATATCTTCTACTACTTGATCTATTAAGATGTAACACTCACTTCATGAGACAACATTGCACGAAAGTAATCTGATCCGGCTGACAGAACATTCCTGTGTGCTGGTATTTTCTCATCGCCAACCATAATTGCAAAGTCACCATGGACTTTTCTCTGTCTGAAATTAAAACGAATAATATTGCATGAATAAGCAATTTCCATATATATTTAAAGAAGAGAGAAGCCTATATACATTCTTATTCAAATATCAGTCCAACTTACTTACAGGAAGAGTTAAACAATAAATCGTTTTGAAGACCCATGAATTCGGGTTCAACTCAAACATTAATATTTCTTTAATCCGATCTTCTTAGGTAAGGTGACAAAAAGTTGGGTTTTTCTTTGTTTTTACCCCACCGCCCTTTATTTATCTTATGTTTTTTTACTGATATAAAATTTTGACTGACCGACTAAAACCCTATTCTATATAGCAGTGTTTTTCAACCGTGGTTCCGCCAGTACAGTCAAGAGGTTACGCAAGTTTTCATTCAATCCGAATTCGAATATGACCAAATATTTTGTTTAATTGGGGTTCCGCAACCACCGCGCCAGGCAAATATCAAACTTATATTCCCAAATTTTATACTAACGTGTTTCCGTGTCAAACGAAATGTACTTGAAAACGCAAAAATACTTTCAGACATGACTAGGAAGGAGTAATCTATAGATACTGATTTGGAAATAATCCTTATTACAAAAAAACGAGCTGAAAAGTTAAAACATCTGTAAAAATCTCAATTCAAACTTTTTGAGGTTCGAATATTGGTAATTTTGTAAACATATGTTTTTAGAGGATATTGAATTATTTCAAATTTTTTTTTTTGGAATTTTCATTGGTTAACTCATAATTTTGCCCCCGGGACCGGAAAAGCTTGAAAAATTCGAATATCTTACCGAGAATGTTCAATTTTCACAAAATTGCCAATATTCGAACCCAGAAAAGTTCGAAAAATTGCGGGATATCACAACAATTTTTTGTTCAAACAAATGTTTATGTTAGTCCATCTTCTACGGGTAAATTCATATTTTTCCCCCGAGACCGGGAAAGTTCGAAAAAATTCGATTTTTACAAAAATATTCAATTTTTACAAAATTATCAATCCTCGAACACAATAAAGTTTTTTCAAAATTGTCAACATAAACCCTCGATTATCTCATCAAAATTTTCAACTTTTTACCAAATTGTCAATATTCGAATTCAAAAAATCGCAGGATATCAACACAATTTTTTGTTGCTATGAAACTTATATTAGTCCTCTATTATTAGTGAATTAATATTTTTTGCTCTGGGACAGGAAAAGTTTGGAATAATTTAATCATCTCATCAAAATTTTTAATTTTTACAGAATTGTCAATATTCAAACCCAAAAAGTTCGAAAAATCGCAGAATGCCACCAATTTTGTTGTTTTGCCTTTATATTATTTGGTCTTTTATCAATGGTTAAATGGTATTTTTTTCCTCCTGACTGATAAATATCGAAATAATCATCTTACTACTAAATTTTCTAGTAAATAAATGCAATTTTCACGAAATGTGAAATATTCGTATGTTTGATAGCTTCGTCTTGAAGTAACCATTAATTCCACGATAAATATTGTGAAAATATAACAAGATTTCTTAATGCTGTCTTTATTTTATGATTCAGGGCACACCCTGGTATGACATCCGGTACAATTCTTCAAACATTTTACTGGTATTGTGGTAGTGGTTACGCTCCACCAAAAAGATTGAAAACCACTGCTGTATATAGAAACGGTATACACCATGCCACTAACAATAGACTATGCCAATGAACCGAGATGATTCGCAAATAAAAAGCAACGTTGCTTACTTCAGCAGAATAACATTAACTAACTTGTAACAATTCTGTCAGTTTAGATAGGGGGTTCTTAACAAGGTGGGCATGCACCTCCACGGAGTGCGAGAATGCTGGATCGTGATACATGAAAATACTGAATATATATACGGTAGGGTGTCCATAAATCTTAAAATAATTTAAATTTGCCGAGGGAATTTATCGATACCATAAATTGTTTTGGCTCTCACAGAAGTATTAAAAGTAGTAAAAATATTTAAACAATTACTGAATAATTAAACATTACAAACCTACAATATTAACTGATCAGTGAATTCAAGTTAAATTATATGTACTTACTCGTTTAGTGCCATCATCATTTTCCCACAGTACATCAAATCATAAGCATCAAGAGGATTCATTTTTTAGTTTAAACTTTTAACTTAACCGTGTAACTGATCTAGCAAAAACTAAATGAAAAGTACTTTTTAGAGAACCGTAGCTGTGTGGATAACACTACCTGTCTTTTTTATCTATTCATTCCCACGAATAAAAATCACATTCATCCCATAAGATAAATTCTCCCATCGATAATTGCTTCTCATAATGCTGAAATGCGCAATAATTATATCAAATTTCATTACTAACCTAAATTTCATGATTTTGCAACACTGCTAATGAAGTCTAAGTATATAGGTTCTAGACCTATCTTTAGCTCACAATACAGGCCATTAGATACTACTAAGTACTTTCACAAAGTCAAGTAGTTCACAAGAGAATAGAATTAAGTTGCGATACTATACAAGCTAACTGTTACATGGCTACGCGGTGTTATAACAGATTTCACTATTTGATGTAGATTGTAAAGAATTCTGTGACGTCAAACTATTACGAGGACTTCACGTGAAGGTTCATTTGGTACAAAATAAGGCGAGTTCGAATCAGAGGTAATTAAATAGTCTTCATGCCTGATACAAGAATAAATATTGCCTGAGAACAAAGTCCATAAATATATTTACACAATATCGCTGAGAGTCTTATTACTTGGTACCGTGCGTTGTATGATGAGTTAATAATCAACAACAGTTAACAGACTTACATAGAGAATATGCTTTGTATGTGGGACATAGTTACACATGAAATATTAGTTTATACATACTTCTGTATCACTTGCTTTAAGTGAATCACAAATTTCCATTTGAACAAGTCTCTACGAAAGCAACCACTGAGACATGGGCTGATGGGCAGATAGAAAAACTCGGAGTAATAAGCCTTCAATAACCCAAATCATATTGAGTGTTTTTACTACACTGACACATAACAAGTCCAATAATCTTTTATAAATTCCATAAGGTTCGATTCTAGTTTGACTCAAGTTTAAATTGAGTCTTCCTAACACTGATCAGTAAGCTTTTTATTTCCTAGAGATTAAAGAAAATATAACTGCTTTTCAAAATATTGCATTTTTAAGCTTTTTCATAGCAATGATTTTTCATGATTGATATCATTAAAAGACCGTATAAATGAAGTAACCGAGCAATCTCCAATATCATTTCTATGACGTTGAATGCTTCATTTAACATTAGTAATTACTGACAGTAACAATCTATCAACAGATCTTTATACTTAAAATATAATACTGTTAGGACAAAGTAGTTTGTTAAAAATTCAAATAATATAAAATCAAATGAAACTAATGCCAAAAAATGCAGCCAGATATATGAACGACTTGCGGCCCTATATTGTTTTACTTTTTTATACAACTAATTTATCGACATTTAGTCCAAAACAGGATCTTTACAAGAAGCCACTAATATGTGAGGCATTAATATACCATATTTATTTACACCCTGGGTAATGTGTTACTCATTGGCCTTGAACTACAGATGTAAATATAGTCAAGTCCAACCCCTCAACCACTAGACCATTCTTGTGCCTTTACATAAGGAGTTATAATATTTTGTATAATTAATATGTTGAATTTTCTTATTTCTAACCATGAAACCAAGCATCAAACGTGTTGTCGTTGGGATCTTATTATAAAATAAACTGAGCGAGTTGACCAACCTCTGAGAAATAACCAATCACTTTAAGTTGGAACCACTTCCATATACAAAGATATTTGGATCTTTCAATCCTAACGAGTCTGTTAGATATAGATTACAAAGACTTGAGGAATACCATAGGAATACAAACTCTCATATGGAATATCAAGTTTCCTATAAAAGTGACATATTATGACACCTATTATGGAGTATTTCTGATTCTCAAATGTCAGCCTACGCTGAACCGAGCTGTAGGCGAAATACTAAATTAATAATGGACACAAATGATAAATGGCTGAGAATGAGGGTAAAGTTTAGACTCTAAACAATACAAAAATGGTCAAATGCAGCCTGAAAAATACAAAAATGGTTAAATGCAGCCTGAAACCACGAAAATGGTTAGATTCCACCTGAAAAACACAAAAATGGTTAGACGCAGCCTGAAAAATACAAATATGGTTGAATGTAGCCTGAAAAATACAAAATAGTTAAATGCAGCCAGAAAAACACAAAAATGGTTAGATTCAGTTTAATAAATACGAAAATGGTTAAATGCAGCCTGCAAAATACAAAAAAAGTTAAATGCAGACTGAAAAATACAAAAATGGTTAGATGCAGACTAATAAATACAAAAAATGGTTGAATGCAAAATGCAAAATACAAAAATGGTTGAATGCAGCCTAAAATACAAAAATGCTTAAATGCAGCCTGAAAAATACAAAATAGGTAAATGCAGCCTGTAAAATATAAAAAAGGTTAAATGCAGACTGAAAAATACGAAAACGGTTAGATGCAGACTAATAAATACAAAGAATGGTTGAATACAGCCTGAAAATGACAAAAATGGTTAGAATCAGTTTGATAAATACAAAAATGGTTAAATGTAAAATGTAAAATACAAAAATGGTTAAATGCAGCCTAAAATACAAAAATGCTTAAATGCAGCCTGAAAAATACAAAATAGGTAAATGTAGCCTGCAAAATACAAAAATGATTAAATGCAGTCTGCAAAATTATCATAGTGTTGATCGATACAAAAGAATGATGGTAAATGAAATGTCCGATCAGATTATCATTGGAAAAAAAAATTCATAAATTTTATCACCTGCCGGACTGAGCTGTTCCCTATTCGACATTCTCAAAACCTACCATCTAAACACATAGTTAGTTTCTTCTGTCGAACTCTATCTATCTATAACTTATAAATTGACAGACAAGAATGGATTTGTAGCACCACACAAGTGAAGAATCACCTGCGAAGCGTAGAGTCCTACTTCCACCTTCGCATCAATTGCTCTTCGCCCAATGGCCATGACCCTACATCAAATAGTAACTGTTCGTACAACTAACATAAACGCTAAACTATAGATTTATGAGTGTTGCTGCTCAATAACCATCATTGTCTTTTTTTGGGTCAACCTTCACCATGAAATGTCATTTTCATTTTTTTCCCTACTTTTTGTTAGCACAAGTGTATTTTAATTTTGGTGAAAAATAACTACTGACTGGCTTCATCTGTTGGCTGTAAAAAAACATAAAGAACGTTTGATTGGAATGAATGTGTAAAATATCTATTTATCTCGGATCTTGGTTCATTTTGTTAAACAAATTCTTGACCAAACAATAAAAGCGCGAACGGCAACTAAGTAAAACGATTTATAATTTCAATATTCGCCTTCTCCAAGCCATTGTATTTGACGATCTTTGAAACATCCAGTCAGCCAAGCAATAGGACAATTGCAGTTCTTTGCAATATTCATTCTCTTCTGATACAGACGAGCTTGCAACACGCTATATATGTTTTAGTATAGAATCTATATATTACACTGAAACAAGAAAATAAGTTAGATGAACGCACATGACCCGGACAGTTAAATCAATTCCCATCCGTTTGCAAGTGTAGGCCGACAACACTTATTGCACGAGCTTATTGAAATAGCAATTGAAATAGCTTTAGCCACGAACGAACCGATGGCGGCTCTTGCCATGATTTATCCACAAAGTCATGTACTATATTTAAATTTAACATTCGGAATTATATCTACTTAGACTTGAAATCTAATCCCAAATCTATCAAAACTGTCTCCATAAGAATAATGTTCCAACTTACCCAATCTTTGTCAACATCACGGGGCAGCCCTACCATTACAGCTGGCATGCCGTGGTTACTGCAGCAAAATTGAACTCGCCATTGGTCTTCAACTCGCTGCCGTGGTAACGGCATATCGCCATTGATTTGCGCAGCAAAAAGTCAGTCGCCATGGGTTTGGCCATAGCGGCCATGGTTTGGAAATCCAGCCATGGTTTTGCGGCAGCTCTAGACGCCACAAGATACTTAAAACTGCACTTGCATACTGACCAGTGCAGCGAACAGGGTTACATGCGATATTGCGAAATGAGGCTTTGATGACGTGCGTCATCCACATGCAATGGATGTTTGCCCGACCCCCGGAAAAAAATTAATTTTGGTATTTTGTGAGATGATGGTCGCGAACTAATTTACATGCGAGAAAAACATTTGGTTTAAATTATTTAACCACTTGGCATTGAAGAATACCAGCAATTTAGTCTAAGCTACCTAAGCTTTTTGGATCTATTTTTTGATTATTAAACTACAACTCTTGCAGCGACAAACCGACCAATAAGGTATTTGATATACATAATTGAAACGTACCTGAATAGGCACGATTACTAGCGGTAGCTATGAAACCTGGTCAAAACTTCCAAATATGGTTGGAAATATGTCGGAGTGACGGAAGCATTTCTGTTACGTCACCTTTGGGTTATTGCTCATTGGTGTTGGTACTGTTTTGAACAACGAAGTGGACTTTCGAGGAAACATGTAATTGCCATCAGCTTTGTTCATGCAAGAAAAAAAACTACATAACAAACAATAAGTGCATTCTAACCCATATTTATTCATACACCATGATCGGACAAAAGGCCGTGGTTTGTCATATGGCTAAGCGCTACGCAGAATTTTCTGCCCAAATCGATAAATGAAAAATCTTTATATAAAACTACCATCATCAAACGACTTGTGACATTCTCAACACAAGATCCATTGCACAAAATATGAAACAAACACGACATTAAAATTTTATTGATACCTCAGCCTTTCAATCGTTGACGAATTTAAATTTCAAACCTATCCAACAACATATTATCTTGGCAAAAAAATGTTCTACCCCCCTATTCATGTCGCACATGAATATGATTGCGGTGAAATCGTCATGCAAACAAAACACAAGACAGCTCTTATGCGCCTAGAACAACCTTAGGCGGTGTGGAGCATCGTGAAGCCTTGGCAATCCATTCGCTACAGTGCTTCTGATTGCCTGCGCGGGTTCGCATGTTCGAATCACGTGGGGTACAATAAATACAAGCATAAACGAAGTTTTATTCAAAAACAAATACGTTTGAAGTTGATATATTTAGAGTGATTGAATTACCGATACCGCAATTATTGGACTTGGCCTGAGTAATTTGTTGTTTAATATTCAAAGGACATATATGCTACTTTCAATGTCAGCGTCAAACATCCTATTAACTGGATTTAGATACCCAGATCCATTGTGATACCCAGAATCCATTTAGATACCCAGATCCAAACCTGTCCCGGTTTATTGACATTCTATAAAAAAGCATTTTAGAATCAAGTATTGGTACTGCGTTTGTGTCCGAATTCACTAAACATAGTCACCCATACAGAAGCAGATTGCTGGAGCGAAACTTAGCTATCGCATCCAGGCAATCAGTCATTAACAAAGTGATTCTTTGTAAGCTTCCCAAAAAGTATAGACTTGGAGGGACCATGACGCGAACAATAATGGCCACGACCGTATACAATGTTTAGTAACTGAGCGTTTATTTTTTCATCATATTTGAAATTCACATTTTACTTTTATTTTGCAGACAAGGTATTTCAGAACCAACGGAGACTGGTATTCGACCAACGTAATCTATTATTCATAATAAGTTGGCATAATGGAATGACTAATTACAATTATTATGTTTATATACAAAATTATTTATACAATAAAAAGCTGCTGTTTTAATCAAGCATGTGGTATGGGTAAATCAGTAACAGTTCTCAAACAAACATTAAAGTGATTGCCAATCATTTTTGTAAAAGGCCTCAGACTGGAAGCATTTGCATTTGGGATACCCATTCACTGTTTATATAAGAAACATTCAAAGCAATGGAAGCGAAGTCCTCAATCTCTTTCCCATCCATTGTCTCAACAACTTTCCAGGAATTTACAGCGGGATCATATTCTTCTATTGCATGGTTGTAATTATTCCTGCAACGGAATAACGACGCAATCAAGTAATAAATAGCCAACTCAAGAATGGATATATATATATATATAGTAATACTTCGCTGAAATTTTCACTTATTTCATTAATTCTATTGAAATGAGGAGCGATAGGGCACACTTTGTGTGTTTTTTTTCAGTAATATCTGCGCATGGAAATGACACAATCCGGGTTGCGATTAACCATGCTAAACTTTTCGAATTTTTCCAGTCACAGCAACTGTACAGTCAAATGGTTTGCTTATTCAAAATTTGAATTATTAATAAACAAAATACCTTGTTTTTACTTTTGGTTTGGGCAACATGTTGATTGAATAATGAATACGTGTAATGAATATCTTCATAAATCAAATTCCAACTCACCCTACAACAGCAAATATCTTTCCTTCAACAACACAGACTTTAAAAAATCTTCTTGGATTGCCTAATCTGGGAACAGTGGTCCATGTTTCAGCAACTGTATCAAAGCATTCCACAATGTCCAAGTAGCCACTGTTGTATCCACCTTGTAAAACAATAACAACGATGAAATATTTAAAAGTTTTATATTAATCAGCCGATTTGCAATGCTTTGGTTTGGCACAAGTCAAATAGTGAATTATTTTCCGACTGCCAATCAAGAAAGATTCTGGAATTATCAAGAACTGATATAACGAAAATACTTCGAATTAATCCCGAACAATTTACAGTTATTTTGCATTTAAAAGTCAGTCTGAAGAAAAATATTAAATTCATGAAGCACATGCCTGACTTGATGTTAACGGTATTAGGATAAAGATCTCAGGGTTTAGTATCGGTAGGTGAAACGTTTGCTTATGCTGCATTAAAAGTTGTGAGTTAACTGTCAATTTGCAGAATATCCGTGCACCTGACTTATATCTGTGACCTGCTACTTATCGAGTACCTGATTGGCAGTGCATGCGCAACACAAGATATATTTAAAAGCAAATTCTCACCCACGACATAAATCTTCCCAATAAGCTCAACTGCTGCTGCACCATTTCTTGCAGTCGGCATTGAAGGAAGTTTCGCCCATGTTGAATCTGATGAATTGAATTTCATAGTATTGGATAGGTATCCATCGTTGAGACCTCCAATACAGTAAATGAAGCCTGAATAAAATGAAAAATCAATGTGCAAGTTGGAAATCTTTTATGTAACCACAAATTCTTTCACCAAACACAAGTTTCTGAAATCACATATGGAATTTTATTATTTGAAGTATGACTTCATCATTTATCAAACCTACCACCTGCAGCAACTATTGATGAATAAAATCCTTTCACAGGTCTATCAGTGACAGGAGACCAAGTTCCACAAGATGGATCAAATTTTTCAACTGCTTTACTGTTGTTGCCAGAATCATCAAATGCATAGATTGAACCTGGTTGTTGAAAAAATGAATGAACGCCTTGAAGATCGCTCGTATGGACAACACGATTCATGTACATACTTGTCAGTTAGAGCAATTTCACTCATCTGTTTTTTCATTTATCACCACATTATCTATTATAGACTGTGGAGTCACGAGCAAATTATAGAAAGCGTACAGGATTAGCCAGACAACCATGGAAAATTAGAATACTCCACTTCCAATTGAGAAACTTGCTTATGTCATACCAACCCTCAAATGCAACAGCAGTCACACGTTTCTTTGTTAACCTCCGATCTGCCAGTCTAACCCATGTAGCATTGGTATCAGTATAATTAAGTTGATAATTGGTTCCCATAAACACAAGAACATAGATGATGTTACCGAGTACTACAGCGGTGAAGCGTCTGCCCATAAAGTCAACTCTGATGTTCTGTTGAAAAACAAAAGCAATCGATCAAACCATGGTATCGCATTGAAGTTTTTGTGGTCAAACTTTTAACGGTCCAAGAGTAGAAACTTGGGATATTTTTAACGCATGTAATGAAGTTATTTCAGACTACATACGCGCACCAAAGACCAATCATTCAGAAGAAAATTCAAGAAATATGTTTAGTTGGAATTTCGTTTCGAAAATTTTACCTCAGCCTCATTTTTTTTCAAGTGCATAGTAGCATCTGAAGTTAGTCATGTATCAGTTACAGAAAATATTTCAATTTGCAAATAAATAGATGACTAAAATTTGAATAACACAATAATTAACAGTGAATAATTATCCAATAACAGTGTCAAACCTGCAGTTTCGTCCAAGTTTTCATCTTTGGATGAAATGCTTGAATTGATCTCGACTTCATATTAAAAACAGCAATTGCTGAAAAGTAATAGAGAATTGTAAACATGAATGGGAATCAACCAATAGAATAGAGTAATCAAATAACACCTAGTTTGTATTATAAGACCATGAAATCATGCCACTACCTTACGGAAAATAATACTGACATTTCGTTTCCTATAAACTTACCGTTAATTGGCTTAGAAGCATCTGAAAAAGTGAAAAACAATTTTAAATCAATGACTTGTGACGAAAACTGAATTAGCAAAAGTTTGCTTATCCAGTTAGTGACGTTATCAAAACCAATCAATGTACGTACTTTTGATGTCAATATCTTCAGCTACAATACGTGGTCCACCAGTTAAAGTATTCATCAGTATTGCATGGTGACGTGCAGAATCAAAGACCAATGGCTGAATTACAGAACAAAGTCCATTGTCACTGGGTGTAATATTCATATGGATGAAATGAATTAATAAATCAGTGTTCAATGTATACAATACACAAAACTAGCTGTCAACAAAGTCACACATGTTGTTATTTTCTGTAACTTGGCACAAAATGAAACGTCACATCTTCAGCAATGTCAAGTACTCCACTACAATAACTATCCTCAATGCCAAAAAACAAAATTAATTCCCCAACCTCTTTCTCCACCAAAAACTTTTGATATTTCTTCGATATCTTTGCCAAATCCAGATTTCCAAATAATTCTTCAAACGTCGATGCCCGAGTCTTTAAATCAAAGTTGGTCCATATAATCAAAGCTTTGCACTTGACAGCTTCAGTTGCCTACAAATGCAAATAATTTTAATTATTATTGTGAATTTGAGTTCCTTCAAACAGATTTTAACGCTTTCACTGGGTTATGATTAAAAATATCATCTGTAAGTAAGGACTAATGTTGTATTTCTACTGAAGTGAATATTAAAAAGTATTTTTTAATATAACTTTAAATCCCATACATTGATTGATTTTGATCCAATAAGAAAGGAAACATAAGCTTCATCCAAATGTTTGAAATCGTCCTCACATACAATTGCTTGAAAATTTCTCGAAGCATATTTGTTGCAACTTTCAACTAAACTGGCGCAGTTGAAAGTGTTTGCAATCATCTTTGTTGAATAGAACAATTTTGGATCAGTTCTTTCTCAAATGATATTGCAATTTTGTCGCAAAAGCCTGAATATAATTGTGATTTAAATATATAAAGCAGAGAACAGCAGTTTTAGACTCCAGATTTTCAATGTCGTGTATTTGGTTTATTTTTCATTTTTTCATCAATTCAACCGAGGGAACAGAGAAATAGGAATAAAAAAGCTACAAAAAGCTTAACAAAAATTTGGCAAAAAAAGGACTGATTGTCAATATTGTTGTTGGGCATTACAAGAATTCCTTACCGGCTGATAAAGCTAACTCTATAAAAATTGATTGAGAATACAACTTGTTCCATTATCAATTTGAAAATATTTAACACAAGCCACTCACCCTTTATTTGCATCATAAACGCGGTGTGCATAAGTTGCTCGCAATCTTCTTCATCATGAGTGAGAATATTACCAGTATAAATATAATCGATGCAAGTTTTTACGCTTGAGTACTGAACTTGTTGCATTGTCACAATACCAGTTCTACTTTCAACATTCTGGAATATAATGCAACGAATTATGTTCATTCTTGGCATATAAAACACTTAAGATAAAGGTTGACAAGAGCCAGAGGTAGGTTAACAGTTATTGAATTAATTAACTACGGATAGCTGTTATCCGACTTGACTATCAGTACTTTTGGGCCACCCTGTATATTGGGAGGTTTTATGACTCAATCTTCGCCGAGTTCACGGTGGGGTTGTAAAGTATTAGGGAATATAGCTCAGAGCCTTTTATAGGGTTTCATAAATCGTAATTATTACTATTAGTTAAACAAGAGAATATCTTCTATTACTTGATTGATCATGATTCAACACTCACTTCATGAGACAACATTGCACGAAAGTAATCTGATCCTGCTGACAGAACATTCCTGTGTGCTGGTATTTCTTTATCACCAACCATAATTGCGAAGTCACTATATTCTTTGCTTTCTCTTTGTCTGAAATGAATTAACAACATTTTTAACAATTTTAACATTTAAAAAAACTGCAAAACTTACCAAGTTTGTATTCATTTCAAAGCATCGATAAATTTTTTGTTTCAACTCCAGGGTAGAGAAAAGCAAATAAGACAGCTTGATGATAAATGAATCATGACGTTTATTCCAGTTGATTGAATACAAAAATAGCTAACTAGTGATCAAATGTAACACTGCAGTGCTCACTATTAGCGCCTTTTTTTGCGAAAAGTACGAGCCCCCTTCGCAGTTATTTTGAAAGACTGTGAAATCGCCATTTTTCCCATTTTTGGAGAGATAAATTTTAAAGTTCACAAATAATTTTTGTTCGAGTATAAAGTTTACAAGTAAACAATGCGCGAGTAATTTTGTAATTAAATTTTGCATTACATAACTATATTGCATAAGCTATGTGGCGCAGGCATCGCAGATAATGCCAGTTAATGAACCGAAATTTTGCATTAACAGCACAATTTCTGTTACTAGTATGATGTTTTATACAAGTATTCCGCTTCCTTTTCTCCCACAAAACGTGTCGACCCGGAGTCGGAATGCGACACCGCTTTTCCTATGTTCGTATGAAGAAGAGTGGTCATGTGATCAAAGTGCACCAGCTGCTAGTGCAATAATTTTAACTGAAAAAATACAACTCGAAAGCGAAAGTTTATCGCACACCCGTTCCCTTGCTCAGGATGGGAAATACAGAATACCGAATCCCAGGATTCGGTGTCCACCTCTTCGGCGCTATCGAGAGTTTTTGTATTTCGGATTTCTAATTTATTTAACGTAGACGAGCGCTTTCTTTCTAGTCGATTATTAATGTTGACTTACTGGCGATATTCCGGTCACCATGCTTCATTTTTCACTTTAAATGATCTTTCGCGTAAGATCTCTTCCGAAAAATGGTGTAAACCAAATTAATTGTGTTTAATGTCGCCCATGTAAATAAAAACATAAGTACTCTATATTACAACCGCGTTTGTTATCGCCGTTTAAAAAATCCGAAGATCTGCTATGAAGTCCCATAGAGAACAATTAAATTTGGTACAATAAAAATGCATATAAAGTATATTAGTACAGTCACTTCGTGTTTCAGAAAAATTTATTTATCGCTTCGAAATCACCGAGGAAACAGTCTAAAGTTCTAAACAGTTACGCTACTTGTTTAAAAAGCCAATATTTCCGTTGCGCAAAGTATTCAATTCATAACCGATAGGGGCATATTTAGAACGTTTTATTAATTTGATTCTAGTTCAGTTTTAACTGCAGTTTTGCCGTCAAAGTGATAGCATCGTTCAATTTATTTAGTAACATAAAACTGATTGAATCAGATTAATTATCTTATATATCATCACAATCAGGGAATCTGTCGCGGGCATCCTACAACAAAATAGTTACGTCTTATTTTTAGTATTTTATATTGCAGCTTTTCAATTAAAAAATTTGCGTTGCAAATTCCCTCCTTCATTTGTCTTTAGCAATTTGCCGTTGATAAATGTATAACTCTCACAGTCTCACCGAATTCACAATTCTGTGCGAATATAAAAATAAAGTATCATTGTTATCATGACACAAATTTGTGATTTGGAAAAAAAACTATAAGCGTTTAGAGCCTAAATACCTCGTCATGTTGACGAAAGCAATCGGCGATTTTAGCATTTTTACATTGCACATGGTCTTCTATGGCACATGGAAACACTTATATGATATATGGAATTTTTTTTATCTGTTCGTAATGGACCCAAACTTTGGAACTTTCTTCTCTCAAAATCTAAAAATATCTCAAATAATTTGTTGAGATGGCGGTTAAATTTAGTTCGGCACGAGGTTCATTGTTTTCCACTATTGCTTCTGTAACACTGTAAACATTGTTCATAAAATATAAACCTGTACATCATACTTACATGACCCGCCAGTCTGGATTGGCACATTTCTTGGTCTCTGATCTAAAAACCGTGCCCGCCCCCGTGCTAGACTCTCCGTTGTTCTCATTTATTTTGGCGAATGAAATTAATGATCAACAACTAAGTGTAAACAAAGGATTTCTGCAAATGTCATTCACTAATGTTTACCTTTTTGGTACTAGGCCGCGAGACGATGCCGTTTATCCTGCAGTTTCGTAGCGCATATACGGGCACTACTCGGACATAATTTTAAAATGTTCCATAGAAATTTAGTAATAAATGATAACTTATTCCAATTTCCAGAAGTTGCATGTTTTACGAAAAAAACGCTTTTACTACAAGAAATATGAGTTGAGTTGGGTAGACTTTCCATCGTCTTTTTCAGTTCTTATTAGTTAAGTCATGCTAAGACGTGGTAAAACGTATAAGTAAGCTATTAAACACTTGTAGATTCTTACCATGGATAGCAATTTTAGTTGAGCACTAGCTCATTAAACGTTGTTTAAATAGGTACGGTAACTTCAAAGAACTGGACCTAGTAGATATGCCCCAAACAACGACACGGTATTTTCATGTTGCATGGAAAATTGATTATTAATTTAATTCTTGAGTATTCAGCAGACTTATAATGCTATATAGAGGACTTGCATGGGTCACGTGACTTCGTTTACTGGGCGGCAAAAAATAAAAACGTCCAGCTGGCTACTGTCAGTTGCAAGTCAGATTATACGTTTCCGTTTTGTTTGGCTGTTGAAAATGGTTATTTCGTATTGTTCCGTTGGCTGTACGTATAGTATAGACACAAAATGGATCTTCAGTTATATTCCACTGTTTCAAAAAGATCCGGAACGTCGCGCAATACGGATATCATCTGTTAACAGGACTGCTTGGTGTCAAGTCCAGAAGTCATCTCGCTTGTGTTTTACTGTTTGCCGACAGCACGACAGCATTTCGTTGATGGTGAGTGATAATGTGCCGTTATCAATTTTTTTAAATATTAATAGGCTCCCTCATTTCAATGGAAAGCAGATGACAAACTACTGTTATTGGTAGGCCTAATTGCAGACTTGACTTGTGTAAGGAATTAATCATCAATTGCTATAAGGTATTATTTACCTAGTTAGCAGGTAATCTATTACTAAGTGTGAAAATTGAATAGATAACTAAAGTTTACCGCCAGTGTTCCGCATCTCTGATCACCCTGGTAGTTTCACAGCTTTCAATCCCATGCGGGGTATTATGCGCGAGGGGATTGCAGCCCTCCTCCCACTGAGGGTGGATCACACGACCGCTTGTCGGTTACGACATCCCCCATCATCAAGTCCATGCTTCTGAAAACAAATACCTGGCTAACTAATCCCGACATAGAATGGTAATCGTACGATGTTGCACTTGCAATCGTTCCCCCTGCTCCAATACGAAATAACCATTTTAAACAGCCGAACAAAACGGAAACGTAAAATGGGACTTGTAATTGACAGGAGCCAGCTGGACGTTTTTTTTTCGCCGTCCAGTAAATAAAGTCATGTGACCAGTGCAAGTCCTCTAAGATACAGCACATTTACTTCAGTGATGAATGACCTTTTGTGTAATGCACGTTTGTGACAAACCAATTTGACTGATGTCAGTTAGTCTAAATCAGGGTCGTCCAACTCGTGGCCCACGGGCCATATATGGCCCGCAAAAGCATGTCGAGTGGCCCGCGCTGTATTTTTCAGAATCGAATGAAAAAAATTGAAGTAGGACTATTTTTCGAGTGATGTAGTATACAAAGATATGATACAAACGATTCGTTTATTTCCTAAATATCAATGATTGGGAAACAACAGTTTTATTGGTATAATAATTGTAAAAGTTTGGTGTGCGGGTATTGCTTGTTTTTTCATTAACCTGTAGTCAGTGTATCAGAACTAGAACATAATGCCATGTTAAGTGGCCCGCGTAATTATTAGTAAATTACATGTAGCCCTTCGGCCAAAATACGTTGCACGACCCTGGTCTAAATTTATAAATTTGACAAGAACCTGGGCAGCAATGATACGTTATGCAAGAGTTGAAAGGAATGAGAAGTGAGAAATAATGTATCAAGTTGTTGGGTGACAGTTGAGGTTTAAAATATACCGGGCATTTCAGACTGTTTGATTTATGAGATTTAGTGTAGAAACAGTGCAGGACTGTAGTAACATCAGATAAAATGCATTATGTATGAGAAGTATTAGTCAGTATTTAGTGAAATTCTTATTTCTCGAAAAACACTCATTTTATTCCAAATATGAATTTATTCCGCATTTTAGATACTGTACTACAAATGAATACGACAATGTTCCACCAATCCAACCTAACGCAGGCTATTATGGCTAATGCTATCGGCACTATGCCCGTAAAAATAGAATGGATCGAAGAAGAAGTCCTAAAAAAAAGCGCAACGGTATATGAATATCATAACAGCTGCAAAAAGCTTAGATGAGTTATTTATATATACCGAAATACTTTGACATTCTTCTGCACTTGAAACTGCTCATCAAACTGATTTGAGGACTCGAAATTCATTGAGTTTTTTCTAAACTTTGAAGATCTTTTGAGGTTAACGAAGCATTAATGAATCAATCTGAAGAATTTGGTTGTTCATTGTATGGAGAGAATATGAAAAATGTAAATGATACCAGGGCACGGTGTTTTCAAAACTGACAAACATATGGATTATTCACTAAAGAAGCATGTTCTGAGGGCAAATTACCAAGCGGGAATTCATAACTGTATCCTAGAACCGTGGATGGGTTCTTGATGATGATGTTTTGCGGGTCAAATGAATGAATCTATTTCAGCCCCCTAATCAGTCCTTGAGTTGGCAAACTGCAAGTGTAAGTAAAATAGGTGTCAAAATAATTTATGCACGTGTGCCAAAATCAACATAATTGCACAGAATTTTGTTTTGTTTGTATCGACTACAAAAACTATAGTACCCTTGTAGAGGAAAAGTTGATTTTTGAGAATTAGGATTTCGGAAGCAATTCAGAGGAAAGTGCATTAGATATTGTATAGTTAACTTAATAAATATTATTTATGAGTATTTTCTCAGCAATTTGTTAGTGTTAGTGAATGTCCTGTTTCTATAGATACTATTGCATTTGTTTTAAATACACAACCACGTCAACTTAAGAAAGACGGATTGTAATATTTCTGTTCACAAAAAAATTCCCCGAAATAAAACAATCATTTTTGCTTTAACATTTATTTTACTAAAAATTGCTTCAAAATTGCACGAAGAAACGAGCTTTAACGAAACGAAAGTCTTCAAGTCCAATTTTGATGATGCGTTATCAATACACACATTGCATTAAATCCAGTTTCACAAAACTAGGTTGTTTGCGATGGAATAGACTATTAAATGACAATTGGAAACACTCCGAAGCCATACCGCACAGAGTCATCAGTCCAAGTTCTTTTCTTGGATGACATATTTCTCCTCGGAATTACAAAAGGTTTTTTTTAAAAAAAAAAAAAAAAAAAAAAACACTCTGAAATTGCTTTGCAATCTTAGATATTATTACACCGTGGCAGGTTGGGCTGGGCATTTTTAATTACCCGATGATTTCAGAATCGAATCAAATATTTTTTCGAATGGGAAATATGCAATTTGTTTGGGACTTTTTCATCGTAATTGGTCCTGTCAAAGACCAATTTTGGAGCGTGCACATATAATAATGAAACGCTTATTTATGACTACAGAAAATAGTCATATGTCAGAATTGCACGGAAAAATATGGCTACAATAAAAAAAAAATTGGGTAATTCACCTCCACATTGGCATAAAATAAAACACAAGATGGCGGCAATTCGAAATTTTAATCTGAACCAATTCGAATAATTTACTCTTCGAATAATTGATTCGAAGCGCTTAACCCTACTCGTTGGCAAAAAGGTGTTTTTTCGTTATAAAAGTTGTGTCGGTGGGAAGAGAAAAACGACGAAAGACAACATTAGTGATACAAAATTTGTGATGATGCATCGAAAACAATAGTGGCTCAGGTCATACACATCACAAATTTCACCCTGCTGTCTGATGGGTATAAAAGCTTTTGCCTATTGTTTCACAGAAACAGATATACGATATGTAAAAGAGAATGAGCGCTATATTAAGGTCGTCGACGGGTGAGGATATTTTTACTCAAAGTTCCGCCATAAAAATATTCTGTTCCAGAAATTCCATCTTTCAGTAAAATTCAAAGGTGACCTAATTTTTTCATTCATTTATGTGTATTCATTATATTCAACTTGTCCGTAAAATTGAGCTAGGTTTTATTAGTAGGTTATAAATTCTATGTCGTTTACGCAAATATTCAGGTTCAAAACCCTGAGTAATACCAACCTTGGATACTTGGAAGTCAGAAAGCATCTAAAAATTAGGTCATACGGAGGTACTCAACGGTGGTCATCTCGGCCTGACGGTGGCCATTGACAGGTCTTCTAAAACATTTATCTGAGCAATACTACACATAAAAAAGTTGTTCTATGAATGGTCTGAAATTTGGATATCTGCCTTAATTGTTGTTATTTTCATATTTAATTAGCCTTCGAAAATGAGATATACCTCATAACACACAACAAATTTACAGGACCGTCGTTGAACCCCTGTTTACAGCTCCACCGAAACCCAGGTGTTTGATCGAACCCAGGTTAAGAAACACTGACTTAGTGCGATCATGACGGCCAATTGAAACGTGTTGCGCACCATGATGGCCAATAAATAGCACATTTCGCAGTGTTTAGTAATCGATCGTTTGTTGACCATACTGGAAATACACATTTCACATGTACAGTGCAGAAAAGATAATTCAAAACCAAAAGAGTCTGTACTGGTTATCGAGAAACGACACCTAATACAACCACTAGACCCTACACTCCTTTATAAAAAAAAAAACCCTCATAAAAAATGTCATAACTTTTTTTTCAAACGTGCGGAAGACTTCACTGATATTTTTTTGGAAAGAATATCTATGCCGCTTCATACAAGCCGTTTCTCAATACACTAGTACAAATGTAACGACCCCGTTGCGTTAACACGAGAGATGTTAATAAAAGTTTAAAAGAGTTTTGTATTTCAAATCGTAGCTATGTACAAAGCCAGATGGACTTAACATCAAATATCACAGAAGTAGACATTTACGTCATCTTCAAAACGAGGTAAGAATGGATATCTGGAACGAAACGCAGCGCGAAATATTAAAAAAACAAGAGAGAATGTTTTCGATAGCGATCGCAATTATGTTTGTTTTATTGTGCGGGTGATGATACAAGCGTGTTTACGGACCGAAACGGATGGCTCGGTCTCCTCAAATTACTTTTTTTTCAAGTAATAACATATTTCTCTGTATATTTCCTAAACTCGTAAAATTGAAAATATGTCAAAAAGGAGTGACGGCGCAACCGGGAACACAAACACTTAAACAAACCTATATCATCCTTGAAAACGGCGCGGAAAATGTCTCATTGCTTTTGTTTGAGTTAGGTCCAGGATAAGACGCATACATAAAGAATGTTAACTCTTACTGACCAATCATATTATAGCCATATTAATATTACAAATTGTGTCACCCAGCAACTATAGGGTTTGTGTTCTGGCCATTATCAACAAAGAGTCGCATCATAACTTAGGCGTAGTTAATACTGCAGATATGAAAATCTCATAAAAATAATATCGGCAATAAAGTCTAAATCTGACAAGTAATATTGCTGGAACACACGATATAATGCATGTTTAAATTTTTATAATTTCCATCTTACATACTATGGAAGATTACATATTGCGTAAAACTAATGAAGGAAACATCGGGATAATGAAATATCTATTTTACAAAGTAATTATCAGGCAAATGCAATGAATTTTTTACGGACCATAAGGGGCACCGTGTTATTAGGGAAGATGTCAATGAATTGCTTAGAGTAGGTTTTTATTCATACATGACTTGCATCGGGCTATGCGACGCAACAGTTTTTAAAGTAATACCGGCACTGGTTGAGTGTAGGCAAAAAACATAAAGCACTACCTGATACGTACATTGACCGCACGATCGATTTTAGGAGGGAAAAGAATTTAAATTGTGCCTCATGGTCCATAAAAGACGGTTCATTCTTAAAATAAACAATGAATTGCAAGTTAATCTCGAGTTCTAATATTTACTTGAGTAGATTAGCTCATTCGAAAAGTTTTGAGTATTCCTTAAACAAATTATAATTACAATTGCAATTCATACTAAAAGAGCAAAAATTATTGATCGATTGAAAACTCAAGCATGTAGTATGAGTAAGTAAATCAGTAATAATTCTCAAACATTGAAGCGATTGTCAATCATAGCAGTGTAAAAAAGGGTTGAGGTTGAAAGCAGTGGCGTGAATTATTTAGTCACTAGGAACATTCAATGCGATGGAAGCCCATGTCTGAATGTCTTTCCCGTCCATTGTTTCAACAACTTTCCAAGAGTCTACAGCGGGATCATATTCTTCTATTGTATTCTTGGAATTATTCCTGCAACGGAATAACAACACAATCAGAGTATTAAATAGCAAATTCATGAATTTATATACATAATATACATTATTAATTAGGCTTCCCGCTGCTTGTCAGCAGGGAACCTATTGTATTCCTGTGTTTTATTATTATTATTATTTATTTATTATTATTATTATTTATTTATTATAAATATTATTTATTTATTTTTATTATTTTTTTTTCAAATTGGTCCTACAATCTTGAAATTCACCTCAAATGTGCAGAAGTTCTCAGCTAGCAATAAAATGCAAATTTTATGCATGACTGACCACGCTTTCACGCTCCAGTGAGCAAAACGCGTCTTCAGTTTTTTTGCGATTTCTCAAAATTGATACATGGTATTGGGTTGAAATTCATAACAATGATTAATGGACATGTTCCGGATACGACATGTCAAGGATACGCATGAGTGACCTCGGCGATACGCTCCAGTGAGCAATATAGGATTTTACATTTTCATATTCTTCTCGAGAACGACACTACTTAGAGACTTGAAATTTATACCACATGCAGATAATAAGTCCCCCATCATAAATTGCAAATTTTATGCATGACTGACCACGCTTTCACGCTCCAGTGAGCAAAACGCGTCTTCAGTTTTTTTTACGCGGGAAGCCTGTTAAAGCTGCACGCAGCTCTAGTTTCTATCAATTTCTATTGAAATGAACAATGAACAGATGATGACTAATTAGCGATAGGGCACACATTGAGTTGGATTTCTGTTTCACCTAGTGATATCTACGTAGGGAATCAATCAATCTGGGTTGCAAATAATCATGCGATACTCGTAGAATCGAATTTTCCAGCCATAGCAGATTTGTACGATCGTAGTTTGAATTACCAATACACAGGAAAGGTTGTTTGCACTTTTGGCCTAAGCAACATGATGATATTGGACATAGATACGTGATATCTTAGTTTATAAATCAACTTTCAACTCACCCTCCAAGAGTAAATATATTTCCTCCGACAACACAAGCTTTGAATACTGATCTTGGATTGTTTAATCTGGCAACAGTGGTCCATGATTCAGCAACTGTGTCGAAGCATTCCACAACGTTCAAGTAGCTATTGTTGTATCCACCTTGTGAAATAATAGGAGCGATGAAATTATCTGATAGTTTTATTAGGGCGAGTTGAAACATACTAGCTCGACACAACTCAACTAGTGAGCTTATCCGATATAACTTGAAATATTGTGTACAATTTTTTTTGACTGCCAAACCAGAACGAATCTGGAACTACGAGTAACTCATATCACGTGAGAATATTTCAAAATTGTTGCGAGTAATTTGCAGTTTTTTGATATTCGAAGTGAGTTTGAAAAATAAATGTTAAATTTATCAAGTACTTTAGGTGAATGTGTGTAATATTAACCCGATGTTAACAACATTAAGACAGAGATCTTAGGAACTTTTATTTTTGGTAAGTAAATCGTTCGCTTATGCTATATTATTTTGAAGTGCAAAGTTGACACCCGAATTGCAGTGCATGCGCAACACAAAATATATCGAAGTGTAAATCCTCACCCACGACATAAATCTTTCCATAAAGTTCAACTGCTGCTGCACCATTTCTTGCAGTCGGCATTGAAGTAAGTGTCGTCCACGTTGAATCTGATGGATTAAATTTTATAGCATTCGACATATGCTCACCATTAAACCCTCCAATACAGTAAATGAAGCCTGAATAGGAAGAAATAACTTAGTTTAAAATGAAAAATTTTGTAATCTTACTTTAAATCATATGACTACACAAACAGTATATGTTTTGCGGTATAACTTCATCCTTTATCAAACTTACCTCCTGCATCAACTATTGACGTACAATATCCTTCCACATGTTTACAAGTGACTTGAGACCAAGTTCCATCAGATGGATCAAATTTCTCGACTGTTTTGCTAGTTTTGCCAGAATCATCAAAAGCATAGATTGAACCTAGTTGATGAAAAATAAATGAATTGATTCACATGTAAAGATGAAGAAATAGGTAATCACAGAATCGGCATCTGGAGTGTCATAACATGCCTGTAAAAGCAGTTCACTAGTAGCTTCGAGTCTTTTCGTTGCTTCTAGAAAGTTATAAGCCACCTTGAATCACCGATAATACGACCACCTACTTGGTTTACACACACCTAAGTTAACAGAATATTTAGCAATAAAAATCCTCGCATAAGACAACGGACTTTATTTGGCTAATTCGGCAGGGTATATCTAGCGTCACATGGTTCAAATAAACTGAACTAATAAAAGAACAGAAATCCTTATTTTTGATATTTATGACTGCAGTTGATCAATACTACAGAGCAAATATGATTCAGAATAACTTATATTGAAGTCATGGTGACATTTCATTTACAATAGCAACCATAAGAATTATGAATATTACACTCTCAATAGGAATTCCATATTTATAAACTTGCTCATGTTATACTAACCTTCAAATACAACAGCATCTACACGGTTCTTTGCCGTCCCCCGATCTGTCAGTCTAACCCATGTAGCATTATTATCGGTATAATTCAATTGATAATTGGTTCCATCAAACACAATAACATAGATGATGTTACCAAGAACAATTGCTGTGAAGTGTTTGTCAACAAATTCATCACTGATGCCCTGGTGATAAAAATTGCAAATAAAAATATAAGATAAAACCATGGCTTCGCATAACATTTTTATTTTGGTTCAACCAACTTGGATTGGAAATTAATGACTGTGTACACAACATGGCAATTCATTGGGATTCAGAGTGGCAACAAAAGTCCATGAGGGATTCCAAAAAATTCTACAGAATAGCTTGCATGCAATAAAGTTTCAGTGGTAAAAATTTTGACAATTTAAGAGTAGAGACTTGAAGCCGATTATTTTTCACCACATGTCATGAAGTTATTTCATACTACATACATGCACCAAAGTCCAAACATTCAGAAGAGAATTTATGCAATACTTATATTTGTTTAGAACTGTCTTTCAAATTTTTTTCAAATGTACAAATGTCAAGCTACAAAAAATATTTTAATTTGTAAAATTTGAATAATACAACAATTAATAATAAACCAATAACATTGTCAAACCTGCAGTTTTGTCCAAGTTTTTATCTTTGGATTAAATGCTTGAATTGCTTTTGAATTTTTGTCAAAAACAGCAATTACTGAAAATAAAGAGGAAGTCTTGAGCATAAATAGATAAAATAGTGGAAATTGATCTAGTTGATTGTTTTTAAAAACAAATGGTATAAACATTATTGAGCCAATCATAAGCCCTTGAAACTAGACTCTAATCCTAATGAATTGAAGTTGGATCATATTATTTAAAACCAAGAATGTCAAAAACAAGTCGAATAAATTTAAAAGTAGCAATTACTATATTATCGCTTTAAGCAATTGGATTATTAATTTTAATTTCCATGCTTTTTTGATTTTTATTCCATTGAATACACATTAATGTAATATATAAATGTAGTTGAACAATTTGACCCAATTTAGAATAACTGCTATTTCTGATTATGAATAAAACTATAAATTATGTTATGAGCTAAACGGAGTTGATACTATTATTTAGATTTTTACATATAAATATACTTACCGGTAGTCCGCTTGACATCTGAAAAAAATGTCAAATTTCAGGAATTTTGAAAAGAATATGAACAAATGTATGGTGCTATATAATACATGTGTAACGAACGAGAAAGGGTAAAGTTATGAAAATTTTTAAAATTGAACAATACTCTCAAATAATCTCATTATCAAAACTAACCAATGGACATACCTTTGATGTCAATATCTTCAGCCACAACGTGTGATTCACCAGTGAAAATCTTCAAAAGTGCTCTGAGGCAACGTGCAGAATCAAAGACCAACGGCTGAATAAAATAAGATCAATTGTCTGAGTACATAATATGAACTTAAACCACTGCGTTGGATGGTCTTTCACACATTATTACTGTAAAAGCAGGCATCGGAGGGAACATGCATTAAGATTGAATTAAAAGTTGTGATTTTCATTTACCTCAACTATTGTATTGTTAACTTTATTTGGAAATTTAAACTCTTACGCTTTTCATAATATATTTTTTACAGTAGCCAATGCCATTGAAGCAGATATTATCAAGCCACAAAGAAAAATGGAATAAATAATCATGGAAATTTACTGAAAATAAGCAGCTACCAAATCGAATAACCATGATGCAAGATTTATAATCCAACTTTAGCAAGTACTCCCTTTGCCCATTGCCAAAATGAACCGGCTTTTAGAGCTAGATTATCAATCGAACTATCCAAGACCATATGATTAATTTCAGGGGGTTGTCATGCTGTCACTTTTTATAGATCAGCAGTTTCAAAATACATGTTCTAATTATCTAGAAATATTGCAAGTTCAGCAAAGCCAGGGACCATCTACTTGATTATCAAACTATCATGTCAATAAACCTATTTTCTGACCTCTTTCTCCACCAGAAACTTTTGATATTTTCTTGATATTTTTGTTAAATCCAGATTTTCAAATAATTCTCCAAATGTTGATGCCCTGGTCTCTGAATCGAAGTTAGTCCAGATAATCAAGGCTTTGCACTTGACAGCTTCAGAGGCCTACAATCGGAAAGAAATGAAACTTTAAGAACATCTGGAAAACTTTCATTGCTTCAATTGTTATCCTGGGGTTTTTATAATGAATAATATTATTAACTGTATCTAAAATGTTTAACAAGCTACATCAGATTAATGTTGAAATAGGCATTAAAAATACAGGCCATAACGATGAGCAATTCCGAAAAATACTCATTCATCACTTCTTACATTGACCTCTTTTGATCCCACCAGAGCGGAAACATAATCTTTGTCCAAATGTTTGAAATAATCTTCAGCAGCTATTGCTTGAAAATTCTCCAGAGCATATTTATTGCAACTTTCAACTAAACCAGTGCAGTTGAAAGTGTTTGCGATCATTTTTGTAGAATAGAACGATTCTGGACTCAGTTCTTCCTCGAGAGATACAGCAATTTTGTCACACATACCTGTAAAACAAATTCCATGTATAAAATGCACACACTCCCATAATTCAAACTATGGAAAAAAGGCCAGGTTTGTTGTAGTTCGTCACTCCTATAAATATCCCATAATTCGAATTGCAAATGAAAATTTTGCATAAGTTTCATACAGCACAATTATGTATATTTTAAACAGCCAATATACTGTTTTTGGTCATCACAGCAAATGCCCTACCCTTGACAAAGCTAAATCTATGTCAAGGTATTGTCCAAGCATGATTGATAGATAATGATTTATTTCCGATACAAGTACATAATACAATAAGCATGAGCAAATAACAATAAGCATAAAAATGTATACGGAAGGGGACGGGCAAGACTTCCAAGGTCAACAAGGTCGACCGACCCCTAAGGTAAGATTCTACCAAGACAGGACACTCTAAAGCAGGCATCATAATTACAATAGAAGAAATATAAATTTTTGAGTTTTAAGCCCGGTTAAGAGGCCCCAGAAATCAATTCCCCGAAAGTATTGGAATAGAAATAAAAATTACAAGGAACAAGAACATCACATGATTACGCAGATCATGTTTTTAATAGTAATTAAAAATGCGAGAAAGAATAAGAAGGGCGTCGGGCTAATGAGAATGAGGCAATTTCTATGAATAGGTGAAAAATTAAAAATACCATACTTCCCAAGCTATATAGTACATATAATTATTATTTCAGACTATATATAATAGTATCTTCAATAATTTTCACAAAGACATATGAAGAATCCATATATAAGATTGTGAAGTCCTATCCATTTTATAAATCTGATAGCATACACTGAGATTTGCATGATATTGCATCATATTATGATCCGCTGAAATGCTGTTTTAATTTGCAAATAGGGTGGTATCAATCAAAGATTGAAAATTACAAGAAAAAAGAACATCGCATGATTATGCAGGTTATACTTTTTTTAATAGTAAATAAAATGCGAAAAGAAGTGAAAAATTAAGAAGGGCGTAAGCCTAATTATAATTTCCTCAAATTTAATTTTACTTTATGTTCGACAAAAATCAAATAGTGAAAATGAGGAAATGAGGCAGTTTCTATGAATGGGTGAAAAATTTAAAATACCATATTTCCAAAGCTATATAGTACATATGAACACTTCAGACTATATATAATAGTATCTTCAATAATTTTCACAGAGACATACATCTATAAAATGGTGATTTCCTATCCATTTTATGAATCTGATAGCATACACTGAGATTTGAACGTCACTGCATCACATTATAATCCGCTAATAAATGTTGTTTTAGTTTGCGATCAAATAATTGTGGGGAACACTGTTTCATACTCTGTGGAATACTTTGCCATACATTAATACCTTCCAGCTTGAGCGATTTCTTCATGCATGAAGATTGATTGATTGGGCGTTCAATTCGGTACGAAATGTCAATTTAACATAATTGCTATAATACACCCACCTTGTAACTGGAGCATATGAGCAGTAAACATCAATTGTTCACGTTCCTCACGGCCAGGGGTGGGAAAATTACCAGTGTAAATATAATTGATGCAAGTTTTCACACTTGAGTATTGAACTTGTTTCATTGCAACAATGCCAGTGCTGCTCTCAACATTCTGAAATATAAGACAATGGATTAAGTCTATTCTGTTGATAATCTTCCGAGGATCTTGGTTCAGATAAGCAATTATCAATATTTTACAATAGGACAGAGAAAAGCATTTCGTCTAATTATCATTTATACAAGACGATATCTGTTAGTACTTAAAAAAAATATGATTCAACACTCACTTCATGTGACAACATTGCACGGAAATAATCTGATCCTGCTGACAGAACATTTCTGTGTGCTGGTATTGTTTCATCTCCGACCATAATTGCGAAGTCACTATGGCCTTTGCTTTCTCTTTGTCTAAAATTAAAACAGATAAATTATTTGCAGTTGATTGGATATGAAAATAGATAACTCTTCGAGACAGAGGTGTAGCCAGCAATTTTCGAAGGGGGGGGGGGAGTAGGAGGGGGAGTTCTGAAATTTGTAATTGCCATGTTTGAAAACTCAAACAAAAGCAAACAAAATTCCGAAAAATTGAGCTATAATGACACATAAAGATAGTGCTGCCAACATTCCAATAACCACACATGTTTCATTACTTCCTAATAATAATGCCCGTATAGTAATAAAGACCACAACAGTTACAACCAAAATGTTGTAGTGTAAGAAATACGATTTTTCTGACCAGTTACTTTTCAGTGATATTTCTTGGTGACTGATGAAAGTGATAAATATATTGGAAATATATGCTATATTAGGAAACTCAGGATGGGCTACTTACTATACATGGTGAAATGCATATGTGCTTACTGATTTATCTTCCACTATATTATCTGTTAATAGTATAATGAGGTAGTAAATGCGATGTTCCTTCCACTTATACTAGGTAACTTATAATTTAAACATTCTAGATGAGATCAATCCACATCTCTAATCTAAATATATGTTTGCTCACAAGTAGGGCTGGGAATTTTAGGGAAAACACTTTAACCGTTAACCGGGTAAAATTAACCGGTTAACCGCCGCGTGACGTTTGATGTAATAATTTATAATTTCAGCTTGTTACGTCACAATGTTTATAAAACAATTTTGTGTGTTCTTATCCCGGTATCGCTTATTAAAATTATTCACGAATCGGGATAGTTTCATGATTGCTCTGCTGCAAGAGATAGGCAGCGTGGTTCGGGCGTGTGGAAGTATTTTAGAAAACCTGATGCCGTTGTTAAACTTCATTTATGTGACAAATTATCAGTGTTCGATGTGCAAATTTTACTTCGAGATATATATCATATAAAGAAAAACGGCATCAACTGCGCACTTGTTGTATGACATTGAATATCCGATTTTGCAATGAAATCGTGAACAATATATTTCGAAATCGACCGAAAACTGATTCTGAATTCATCATTGTCTAATTTCCATAATCAGCAATCTTGGTACTTGGTACAGCAATAGTTATATTATTGCCAGTATAACCTCCTTTTTCCTAGCCAACTCCTTGCTGTCTGTAAAAGTTGATTATTTCTTGTTAACGCCTTGCTGCTTCGAATAATATTCATGTATCTAAAATTATATTTAAAATTGAGCACCATTTTCTTTGTTCGACAAAATTGCTCTTTATTTGAGAGGCTGACGTCTCACTGCTTCGAATAATAGTTATGCATCCACATTTATATTTTGAGGACTATTTGTGTATATCTGCAAAAACTGCCTTTTATTTGTGGGGATGAATTCGTACTGATTTAAATAATAGTTTATTTACCCATATTCATATTTTGAGGACTATTCGTGTATTTGCAAAATCTTCTGTTTCCTTGAAAGGCTGGCCCTCCTGCTTCAAATAATGTTTATTAATCCAAATTCCCATTTATATACGAGAACTATTTGTATATTTGCATAAACCGCCTTTTGTTTGACCTATCTGACTTATTGCTGCTTCAAATATTAGTTTATGAATTGGTATTTATATATGTATTTCAGTCACTCATCTGCCAAAATTCTTTGCTATAGTGAGGCTGTTTCCTCGCTTCAAATAATAGTTTCCAAATTTATATTTGAGTATTAGTAGTTCAATTGCCAAATTGTTTTTTATTTGTGGGACGTAGTCCTCGCTTTTAAATAATAGTTTGTGTATCCAAGTTTGAAAACTAGCATTACGGTAGTTGATAATTTGCCCATACTGTTTCCCTTCTCAAAGACAAATCCTATTTGTTAAAAATTGACTTTACTAAAATAATTTTTTTTTGTAATCGTATTAATTTGTACATGCAACTCAACCCATCTCTCATTCTCACATTTTGTTTTCAATCATTCCAATTGTCATTGGCATGAAATTTGGTGTCCAATGGCAGCATGCAGGCAATCTAAATATTTGATAACGGCTTTGAACCTTAGGTTTCACCTAACATCACATATCAGAACGATAAATATGTATCCGCAATCTTTTGACCTGACCTCTTCATAAATTATTCTCCCTATCTAAAATGATTATTCAAATAAAAGATAGTAATGGGTTTGTTGGTTGCATCATATGGCTCTTCATAACTTATTCTATATTACTGTTTGTATATCCAAGATGTGCCTTTGTATATCTACATGTTCACATCCTGAAATATTGCTTGGCCATTTTTTCCCTTTGATTGTTGTTTGTTTTACCAAATTTTGTTTCTAAAAGTCATATTTTACTGTGAACTCATCAGCGCGAACTTGGAGGCAGCTGACTTCGATGTCTGCATGGTCACATTGCTTCCTCCAGTCTATACTGAGAAAAGTGTTTTTTGTAGCCTTATTTTTTTATTGCTGTTACTTTTTTCTGGTTGACATAATAATCTCTCTCTCCCTCTCCCTATTGAATTATTGACCCACCTTTCTATGCTTATCTTATGTTGTTCAACACTTTTGCTAACCTAGCTTATCTCTATTTAACCTAAACAGCATAGAAATACAGCATATAAATTACTGACAGTCTTACCAGTAATATTATCGGAAAGAAGTCAATATTGTAATACGGTAAAGGCATCTCAGAACCCATAAATGATGTCATGCAAAATAGCAATGATATTTTGGTAGCACCTGTCTATGTTTATGTTGTTCAACACTTTTGCTAACACCTAACTTAACTCTATTTAACCTAAGATAAACAGAATCAAAAAAAATTAGTGGTGGGGCAATAACAGCACAGTAATAATATACAAATTACTTGGTCATGCTTTAATAATTTCAATAAATAGAAATTGCTGAACGATACTGAAATAAACTCTTCTCCTGAACCAAGAATACCTGACAGTCTTCCCAGTAATACTATTGCAACGAAGTCAATATTGTAATACGGTAAATGCATCTCAGAACCCATAAATGATGCCATGCAAAATAGCAATGGTATTCAAATAAGATTATTCTGAACAGTTACGCTTCACTGATAATCCTGGGGATTTAATAAAAATGAAGAATACTACACAGACCTAAAAAGTACTGGCTTGCAACAGTTCTCAACAGATCCCAATATAGCATTCAATTTAAATTATGACATACAAACTCTAAATCTGGTTTACAGAATAATCATAGCCTAATCAGAGGGTAATAATTCTGCCATTTTTTTTTTGTATTGGCCCTCTGGATAGGACCAGACTATTTTTAATGCAGAATGAAAATACTGTAGGAGGGCGTCGTACTACATTTCATAAAGTTCTAAAATTACTTGATCAAATTTCAAGCAATTATAAAAAAGCAGTAAATTCAACTTAAATTTTATGTACTCAATTGTTAAATACACAGTGATTTACAAGAATATATGTTATTTTCAAGTAATAAGAATAGATAGATACTTCTGAAATAACTGACTATAATACTAATTTGTTAAATATAAATATTTTATCAATAAATTAATTATTAAGACTGTTAAATTTAATTTACTTAATTACACCACCCAGAAGGTATATTATGTCTTATTATGATTCAGTGCCATGATCTGCTTTTATTAGACATTCATCATTTGATTTTTAAATTATTATGAATCCTAATAGTATATACCAATACCATAGGTATATAATATCTAGGTTTATAGTACAGACTAACTATTATTTGTATAAACTTGCTTGGCAGAATATCCTTTGTGTATTTAAGTGTAAGAATTCTGTCAGCTTGGATGCATTTTTTTAAAGCTCTCGCAAAATAAGCAAGAAAATTCTAATGCCCTATCAGGATTTGGTATTATTTTTCATGAGATCCTGAATATTCTCAGTCTAATTGCAATACAATATTAACAAAGCAGTAAATTTTTCATGAATTTCTATGTACTTACTCGTTCAGTGCCATCATCATTTTCCCACAGTGCTTCAAGTCATAATCATCAAGAGTTAAATTCATTGTTCCAGTTCCAGGAGATTGCAAAGTTCTAACTAAACTCACTATGTTACAGATCAACCACAATATCTTGATAAGTACCGTAATAGTTTTACAGATCTAGTTGGATAAACAACAGCTGTAGAAATGTTATATCGGTACCAGTTAAATTACTATGAGAAGCAGAAAAGCCAACACTATATCATCTACACCGTTCTGGTGAAAACTGGTTAAATAATTGATGTAAAGAATATTTAGTCTGGCAACTGCAGCTCTTGGTTTACAAGTTGATTATAACAGTATAAGGTTCCAGACAGCAACAGCAACAGAATGTGATGTATCAGTATCGGGGATTATTCATCTAGCCAAAACAGTCCTGATTATTTGTGCATTAAATAAAAACAGCCAACTTCGCCCACGATGTCGAATATTTTACATTATATTACTGGTCGAAAGGAGGCAACTGAAGAATAAAACTGATATTAATATGAATAATATTGCAAAAAGGTTTTATGTTGTAAGGCTTGAGGCAAGGATGTAGTCACTCACCAAGTCACCATACATGTTTTTATTAATTATTGAAATATTTGTAAGTAGAATTCAACAGAACCATGACATAAAAGGGTATGTCTAGCAAACAGAAATAAAAATTGCCTTGCTCGCAGCATCTGATGGATCAGAAAAAAGATATCAAAAACCTTTTTTTAAGCGGATAAATTCTATACCATGCCTGGGTGCAAAATAAATATGAATAAATGAAAATCATTGTGCCTGAGTCAATTGCCAAATCGTTCCTATGCAAAATTCTATGCAAGTCCTTGATGTTGAGCTTACTGGTCTATGTAAATTTTTGATGCCTGATGAGAAAATAGAAAAATGGTCAATTGTGCAAGAACTTGGATAATTGGTTGATGCAATATGAAAAAGTTTTTTATTGCACTATTGAATCGCGACTTCAATTTTTCCATGTTAAATTTGCTTTGCGAGCAATCACGAGCAATGAACTATTATTTAGAATAAATAAGTCCGAAATGTATATATTGTGAAAGGCATGTCGAAACCATGTTACATTTATTTTATTTCGGTGTATTTGTGCAACAATTATGGGGGAAATAGTTAATGCATGGCTAACTGTTGAATATGGGTTAAATCTTACTCTGACATCAAATGAAATTTTAATTGGGGTAAAGCAAAACCAAGGTATAAACTGTGCTTTACTAAGTGCAAGATTATATATTATTTAAATCATAGTCATAGTCAAGTTTATTTTTTCAATCCAGTAAAAAAATTTGACATGCAAAATTAAGACGAATAATATTAAAAACACATTTCACTGGAGAGGGGAAGCTGCGGGGAACCAAAGCTGGTTATCAAGCAGCGACACCCAATGTTCAAATATCTAAATAAACATTAGCCAAGTTTTAGCAAATTGATTGTTGGAAAACTGTGATCATTGATAAGCGAGGCTTGGTAGGTGAACCATCTAATGCGATAGGTAAATAAATAACCAACATCGGGTAATACAAATTAAATGTGGCTCGGCGGCGTGGCGCATCGTGCTAAGCGTTAGGAATATGCTCGCCACCGCATCTCTGATTACCCTTCGTGGGATCGCAGGTTCGAATCCCATGCGGGGATGATCATGTGCGAGAGGATTGCTGGACTCCTCACCGCCGTAGGGTGGTTCACGTAACCGCTGGTCGGTCACGGCTTCCTCCACCACCAAGTCCATGCTTCTGAAAACAAATACCTGGCTAACTAATTCCATACCCGACCTGAACTGGTAACCGGACGAGAGCCGTGGTTCGCCATATGAGTAAGCCGTCTTATCGGCTTTCCTCTCCCCGGGATAAATATGTAAATCCTATTCTATTCTATGTGAATATATTAAGTCTGCTTGGAGGCTAAGAGGGTATTCCCCGATTTAGCTCGCTGCCAAGCAGCAAAAATGCTGAATTAGTAAAATAACAAAAGCCTGAGTGGCAGCATAAGTTGCCACTGTCCCAGTTCATCGCTTCAGGTTATTAGTGAAGTAAGTTAAAAGACATGTGAGGAAATGTTACAGAAAAACAGGTACATAATGAAATCATACATATTAGGGTATGAGTACTAATTTGAATTTACTGTACACCGCTAGCACAAATCAGAAACCAGTTAGGACTGGCAAGATACGGTAACGAACACTCTACTGGCAGAATCACTAAATAGAGTTAACGTGCTCGGATGAAAAATAAACAAATAATACGAGTATATTATGTCATGAAATCGACAATCGTAGTTAATAATTGAATGCAAGGTTCAATGAGTTATGGCCTGAATTAATAACTATTTTTATCATTATTTTCCTTCAGGTTTCGTACTAGGAAAGCCACAAATCTATTGAGACTTGAGATATCAAGAACATTCATTGTAAGTGGATAACAATTGTTTTTTTTATAGTGGGTTAAAAAAGTTGGTAAGACATGCTTCGTGTTTCACCCTGGTGACCATTCCACAGAATTATACCCTCATACTTGAATGATTGTTGTGTCTTCGTATAAATCTGACAGGGTACATAAAATGAAAAGGAAGAAGCAGATCTAGTGTTATGATGGTGGACCCTGCATTGCTTGGTGAAATAGTTTTTGAATACCTTTGGAAGGCAACAGTTGTGATGCATTAGTTTGCAAACTTCTAGTTTATAAATATCTTCATGTTTAGGAATACCGGTTTGATAGTACATTGTATTCACGTTGAGACGAGTAGACGGCTGGTAGAGAATTTTTGTAATACTTTAATAGTATTCAGTGTTGACTTGGAGGCAGATCCCCAAGCAACAACTGCATACTGAATGTATGTTTGGAAAAGAGAGTAATAAACTATTTTTATTGTACTACGGTCCGTATAATGTTGAAGTTTACTTCGAATTCCTAAAGCGCGTGAAACTTTTTTCGAACTTCGTCAACATGTACATCCCACTTTAGGCGATGATCTATGTTCAGACCCAAGTATTTGTTGGAAGGTACACTCCAGTTCGATTCCGTTACGTCGGTTATAGCATGGGTTGTGGAGTGATTGGTCTGGAAGCCGAACTGGAATCTATTAATTAATTTATTTTTATCGCAGTATTCACTTAGTCTATACTACAGAAGTTTTTCAAAAACAATTGCCAGACATGATAAAATAGAAATGGGTCGATAGTTGGATGGGTACGTTTTATCACCCGATTTGTATATTGGGACAACTCTGGCGAGCTTCAATGCTGATGGAAATATGCCCAATCTTATAGACACATTAAAGAAGTGCACAAGAATGCGTGAAATTATGTCTGCAATTTTTTTCAAAAAAAGTGACGGAATGTTATATGCACCAGAGGCCTTTCCTTTTTTAAAGCAAGGATAGTATTGAAGATTTCGGTCGCATCAGTAGGTCGGATATAAATTGACTCTTTAATAGGAGCTTTGAGAAAGCTTTCAAAATTAATATTCGTAGGCGGCACATCATTAATTAAATTTTTTCCGATGTTCGAGAAAAATTTATTACGTTCTGTTGCAATTGTTGGACTGTTATTTGAAATACATCCATTTTGGAGTTTTATTTCTGATATTAGCGAATCATTTCTTGATTTAATGTTGACAATTTCCTTAACTGACTGTCACGTTTGTTTTATGTTACCTCTATTATTTTTTATTTTTGATAAATAGTGGGTTTGCTTAGATTTTCTTACTACGTGAACTAGGATATTGTGGTATTTTTTGTAGAATGCACGTTGTCCCTGGTTACCATGCAAATAATGTTTTTTGTGCAATTTGCTTTTGAATTTAATGGATGTATGAATACCCTTTTTGATCCAGGGTTTAGATAACAATCTTGTATTTGTCCGAGAGCATGGGTGCATGAGTGTCTATTGAATTTTTCAATGAGGTTATAAAGATGTTGAACACCTCGTTGAAATTATCTGTGGACAATTCTGTGTTTAATAGTCCATTTATTGCATCGTGTGCCTCATTTCTAAATGTTTCTTCATGGAAATTAGACATATTTCTTTTCATGCAGGGTTTGATCTTACGATTTATTGTGTTTAAGAGAGAAAAAGATGACATAATTGGAAAATGATCCGATAGTCATGTTGTATAATATAAGATGAGGAACAAAGATCAATTACATTAGTATAAATATGGTCAATTAAAGTGTGCGATGTGGGAGTTACTCTTGTGGGGCGTGTTATAATAGGGATTGCCAGGTGAGACAGAAGCATGTCAGAGTACCAAATTGTCAATTTGTCTTCAGCTAGAAGGTTGATATTGAAGTCTCCTAGAATTATGAAGGGGGTTATCGAGCTTTCTAATTTATTAAGTAATGAATCCATCGATTCGGTGGATTCACTGAGATCATGGCGAGGATGTTTGTAAACAACACCAATGATCAATTTTTCTTGGTTATATTCGGATGATTCATTGACTTCAACCCACAAGTCTTTGCAACAAGGGAAATTAAGGCCAAACTCATTGGTTTCGAAAAACATGACATCATGACGTATAAAAAAAAGGCCAACACCTCCAGCTTTTGTCGGGGAGGCAAAATGAACAAAGTGATAGCCATTCAGACATATGTTGCTGATGGGGGATGTACTGAGTCTAGTCTCACTTAAGGCAATGAAGTTGGGGAAAATTTGTTAACAATTGTATAAGATCATCGATATTTTTTGACAGTGATTTTATATTGATATGCAGCAAAATGAAGTGAGTGGACTTAAATTTTGATAAGATAACCCCAATGTTTGATAGTTCTAGTTATGTACTTATGACAGGGCAAATTTTACAACTAGTATAAGAATTAGCTAGGCATGAAATATGACATATTGAGCACAAGTGATCAAATGAAGTCATAGATAAAAGTTATCTTATGACGGATTCTTCGGTTGGTGAATCGAGCTATTATTGGGGGGTAATTTTTCGGATTACGAGTGGGAAATCTGTGGGTGAAAGAAATATCGCTCGGTTGGATGTCAACTTTTGCAAACTTAGGAATTTCTAGGACTAGTTTATCAGTGTCTTCATTTTCTTTGGGAAGTACTCCATGGAACTCGAGATTCTCGAGTCTGGAGCGTCTTTCTTGATCCTCCGCATGCTCCGTTACATACCAGAGTTCATCTTCAAGATGTAGTATGCGTTGTTCTAAGCTGTGGATTTTTTTATTCTGGGATTTCAATTCGTTGTAGAAGATCATCAAATTTCTGAGATTGGAAGTTTTGAGATTCTTTGATGATTTCTAGTTCACATTTAATCTCCTTCAAAGACTGAGTTTGGTTGCTCATGAATTCCTTGAGGCCAGGACTTAAGGGTAGGTACTCCGATGTGCTGTTTAGGTGGTTAAAATTTTCTGAATACATCGATTATGCTCGGGAGTTGTATTTCGAGTTGTTTTTCGGGATAGTCTCTTGTATCTTCGGCAGGCAAAGAAAAGCTATAGGTGGCGTATGAGATTTTGCTTCACTTTGGCTCGGTGAATATGATGATGAGGAATCAGAACGAGATGGTATTATGGGAGACAGTCCAGGACATGGTGGACTGGATTGGCTCTCTGGATATGGTGCAGTCTTCTGTACTTTTTGAATGGCATGTTCAGGTGTTGAGTATATTATAGCAGTTAATTTAAAGATTAGATATATCTGAAACCTTAATAATCTAATAGCGAATGTAAAGATGTAAACTACGTAGTGAAAGGCCTCAATTTGATCAATTTTTACCGGTATATATGATGAAAAGTATTTTCAATGTGAAAAAATAAAAAAATGTAAACTGTCGAAACACATAAAATGGAAAGTTATCATGAACTCTTTTTTTAAGTGCATTTGTATTTATGTGTTATCGTGTGTATAAAAAGTTATGTTTTCATTAATAAAAAATAAAATTGTTCGTATTCATCTCGAGGAGGAGCAAACCGTGTTTTTTGTTTATATTATAATCATAGGTTAACTTAATAGGGCCATAAATTTCAAAAAATAGTTAAATCCCGCAGCGGGATATTCAAAAATACAGATCGACACGCAATAATTTTATGGACAAATTAATCCCCAATCTTCATCAAGTTTCTAAAATCGTGGCGTGGTTTTACTCAAGCATAGACGCAAGTCTTCAACTTTCAGCTGATTTCGTCTACAATACACACATTGCACTAAATCCAGCCTCCTAAAACTAGGTTGTCTGGGGTGGAATCAACTATTGAATGACAGAGTTTGAAACAGTCAAATACACTTCACGCAATGAAGACCAGAAGTAGATAAATGCCAAACATCTAATACTTTCTTCGAAAAAAAAATGAATGAAAAAAGGAATTGCAATATTATCTTCGGCTGTCACGTCGCTGGAATTACATACACGAACTATTTTATTTTTTAGTTTTTCTCTTTACACTACTGAGAATTAAACGTTACGCATTATTAGTAAAGAATAATTGGAATAACTGTTACATATAGTAAATATTAAGCTAATGCACACAATATATTTTGGATAAATAAAGTCGTAACAATGGAATCCAATTAATCCCAAGCTCCAATATTGACTTAAATTTCCGTTGTGGCAACATAAAATGATATTTACAATTTAAAATCACGCCTAAAAGGGCAAAAATTATTGATAGATTGAAAATTACCGGAATTAATACGTTAATCTACATAGATGCAGGGTGAACAATGGAATATCAATAATCTCAAGTTCTAACATTGACTTGTTCCCGTTGTGTTGAAAATTACTGAAATTTAAAAAAGCAAGAATTATTGATAGGTTGAAAATCACTAACAATAACAATTAACAATAGAATCTAATTAATCTCAAGTTATAATAATGACTTGCTTGAGTTTTGCTGAATAAAATTATATTTACAATTTGAAATCACACCGTAAAGAAAAAATATTAATCTATTGAAAATCCGCTGTTTTGATCAAACATGTAGGATAAGATAATACAAGTTCTCAAACATTGGAGTGATTGTCAACCATAGCAGTGTAAAAGGGCTCAAGTGGAAGCATTGGAGTGGAATATTCAGCCATTGTTTATAGAGGAACATTGAAAGCGATGGAAGCCCAATTCTCAGTGCTTTTTCCATCCATTGTTTCAACAACTTTCCAGGAATTTACAGCGGGATCATATTCTTCTATTGTATTCTTGGAAATACTCCTGTAACGGAACACGACGCCATCAAAGTATTGAATAGCAAAATCAGAAAATTGATATTTATATATATATACATTGGCTTAAATTTTTTAGTTATTTTATTAATTTCTATTGAAATGACAAGTACATCATATATGATGGCTAAGTAGCGCTAGGAAACACTTTGGGTTGGTTTACTGTTTTAGCCAGTGATATTTACACATAGAAATGACTTTATCCAGGTCGAGATTAACAATGCTGGACTTGGAAGAATATCCTTCCAGCTATAGCAGTTTTCATATGATTGAATTATTGCCTATTCAGAAACTTAATAGGTTGTATAGGTTGTCATTATTGGCCTAAGCAACATGTTGATTAAATAATAGATACGTGCAAGAATTATCGCAGTTTATAAATCAAGTTCCAACTCACCCTCCAACGGCGAATATCTTTCCTTCAATAACACAGGCTTTGAAATAGTATCTTGAATTGTTTAATCTGGCAACAGTGGCCCATGTTTCAGCAACTGCATCAAAGCATTCCGTAATGTTCAAGCCCTTGTTGTTGAGTCCACCTCAAATATAAATTGAATATTTGGAACAAATAAAATGATATCGAAGATTCATTCTAATTTTGTATAAATATTGAATAAAATAAATTTTCTATGCATCTATGCATTTGCATCTATGAAATAATATATTTAATTATTCAGCCAACTTCCCGAAACCAATGTGAATGTGATCATAGCATAAAGATCACAAAGCTAAGCAACGGTCAGCAAAGCTTTTTCACAAGCCAATCGCTGAAATTTTGAAGAATTCAGTTTACAAAAGGAAAATAGATACCGGTAATTGTTAAATTCCAGAAGATTTGTATACCTGAATAGCTGCTTATCTGACACCTGGTTTGCAAGGACTGTGCAACACAAATATTTTGAGAAAGTAAATTCTAACCCATGACATATATCTTCCCATCAAGTTCAACTGCAGCTGCACCATATCTTGAAGTAGGCATCGAAGGAAGTGTCGTCCATGTTGAATCTGATGGATTAAATTTCATTGCATTAGATAGACTTCCACTTTTGAACCCTCCAATACAGTAGATGAAACCTAAAAAAATATTTGTTAAAAAATTATTATAGCATCACTGGAATCAGTACAGTACTCAATGAGTTTAGTTGGTTGATACTCTTGTAAACATTTCGATACAACCACAAATTCTTGCATCATCTCATAATTTTTTTTACCTCCTACAGCAAGTATTGATGTATAATATCCTTCCACAGGTTTATCAGTGACATGAGACCAAGTTCCATCAGATGGATCAAATTTCTCAACTGTTTTACTGTTGTTGCCAGAATCATCAAATGCATAGATTGAACCTGGTTGTTAGAAAATAAATAAAATTATTCTAATGCAGAGTTGACGAAAGGGGAGTTGACAGCACTTATAAATTTGAAATAGAAGAGCTAACTTCAGAGCCCAAAAGCTGCCATGACCTTGTGAGCTGCTTCAACCTGAAAATGTCTTATGTAAAATATCTCAGGGTAAAACCCTTGGAAGTGGTTAGCTAGCGACCGTAAACTCATCCAAGTTATGTTGGGTCAAATTATAAAACATTGTAAATTTCCAGAGTTTTAGATTAAAATAAAACTTAGATGTCAGATTGAATCATTGTGGCCCCATCTAACGAATATTTGTTGAAGGTTTAATTTAGAACTTTCGACCTAAATTAAAATACATAAATATACAGTTGACAAAATACAGCATTATAATCATCCCAATGTCTACCAGCCAATAAGTTCATTTGGTTTAAATCATGCTAAACATGGTTGAGAGAGGCACATTTTCCAAATTTGATTCAAAACTGGAATTAGGAATCCAGCAATCCATATTATTTATTTTAGATAGCCGACACTGCTCTTGTTCATATATCCAAAACAAAATCCATGTCATATGTATCATAACTTCTGTGTAAAGCATCTTAGAAACTTGAAACTTTTTAATGAAATCAAAAGAAGTTCAAGTGGTAAATAAACTTTCTTCGTTATATGTCCAACTAACCTTCAAATGCTACCGCGGCCACACGATTTTTTGTCATTTTTCTATCTGCCAGCTCAATCAAGGAAAAATTGGTATCGTTATAATTCAGTTGATAATTGGTTCCGTCACACACGAGAACATAGATGATGTCATGAAGCACAACAGCGGTAAATTCCTTTTGAACGAAATCATCACTGATGTCCTGGTATGAAATTAAAACAGTATATGTAAATGTGTTTGAAATATTATACAACAAACTACCATAATTATTTGGATTTTGGAACGAAATAAATTTTTGACTGATGTATGCATATATCAATAGATTTGAACTATGAATGAAGCGGGGGTATGGATTAGCGCAAAACTTAAATTTTGTGGGGCCATGCTTTGCATTTCATCTGATCAATGGCTTCTTTGAGTTGAGTTGACCAAGCTCAATGATAATAGGGCTGCCAAGAAGTATCTGATGAATTTTATTTTTATATAATTTTTTTTGAATAGTAATTGCAATTGCCAAATGTTTATAAACCGCACGCTAACCTGTATCATTGTCCAAGACTTCAACTCAGGATCAAATGCTTGAATCGCTTTAGAAGTTTTATCGAACACGGCAATTGCTGAGAAGAAATTGGTTTCAACATTATAATTAAAATTTAGGTAAACTAAACATAAGCTGAAAAATAAATTAAAATGAAGTCAAAGAAATGCTTAGCAGGTTCAAATATGCAAAGTTTTAATTTGCCAAGAAAGAATTTAAAACAAAAGCAATACATTAAGCTTACCAACAAAATACTTGAAAGTAATAACTTACCATTGTCAACAGGAAATTCTGAAAAAACAAAATACAACATTCTATGCTGTGGTATTGCTTGGTTGAATTATTGAAAATAGAAAAATGTTGAAATTTGATAAATGTGGAACAATTATCTGCACAAAGTCTGTTGCAATAGTTTTAAATCATAGAAACCCTCAGCGGTATTCAACGGTTCAAAACTCACTAAATATGACAAAGTGAAATCTAGGAAAGTGAGCCATGAAGAAGCTTCTTTACCTTGAAGAGTGACATCTTTAGCTTTTATGTTGTTTCGATTGAAAGGCAGAATTGCAATGGCTCGAAGACATGAATTTGTTTCAAAAACCAAAACCTGTGAAAATAAAAAACAAAATAAGAAAAATCGGGTATTACAGTTGTGATATATGCTTTAGGTAAACTTTGAAATTGAATGCAATTCATACATGTTACTAATAAATCAAATAAAATGTTTTCAGCCATCAGTTAAATTTGACATTGCTCCAGTCAACCTGAACACAAACAGTGGTTTTATGTGTAAAATTTACCTCGTTTTCAATCAAATGTCTTTGATATGACATTGTCATTTTCCCCAAATCCAGTTTGTTGAACATCTCTTCAAAACATGATTTCCTATTCTCGATGTCATAACTTGTCCAGATAATCAACGCTTTGCATTTAATGTCTTCTGCTGCCTGTTTCAGTAAAAAAATAAATTTATTCAAACACTCCGATCTTTTTGTTTTGGTTAATATGTTGAAAAGGATATAATGGCTTTAAAACTTGACAAACCAACATGAAACAGAAATAAACAATATAGAGGCCACTTGGAAACGTGCATACCAGTATGTATGTAACTTCTCTTATGCATGCACAATAGTTTAGCTTCGTAGCTGATGCCTTGGTGTCAAACCTTCGAAAATTAGTGTTTGATCATAGCCCAAAATTGGGGATAATGAAGTTTAGTTAGACGACAATGCCTAAAACATACATCATTGCAGATTATCCAAACAACAACGTAAAACCGATCATATTAATATTTATCGGTGATTTGATGAGAGATTGATGTGATCTCTAATCTTTCATATTCACAAAATTTGTGAAATAGATACTATTGCTACGACAAGCACAACACATCCGACATGAGAAATGTCTCTATTCTGTTTATATAACGCAAGTTATGGAGAATTTAAAAGACAAGTATTTGTACCAATTGAGTAAATGAAAATTGCAAAGATATTCAGATACAAACCTTTGTTTCTTTCGAACCAACCAAGATAGAAACAAAATCTTTCTCAAAATGTTTGAAATCATCTTGAACAGCAATGGCTTGAAAATTTTTCAGAGCAAATTTGTTGCAACTTTCAACTAAACCAGCGCAGTTGAAAGTGTTTGCGATCGTCCTTGTTGAATAGAACGATTCCGGACTCAATTCTTCCTCGAGAGATGTTGCAATTTTGTCGCACATGTCTGAATATAATACTATAATATTGAAGCATTTTTGCATATAATATAGGAAACAACCATTTTTGGACTGAGTTTAATTTTCAACACTTTTCTACATTCGGAACATGAAGGTGCACCTTGAAGGCATCAAATTCGTACTTTTCAGAAATTCATTTCTGTTTATTCGTAAAAACCGCCACTAAATCGTCGTGTTATAAAAAGTTTATTAAAAGCGTCAATTGAAGGAAGTAGTAGCTTCGATACAGGATGTTGCGATTAGGATGATCCCGAACCGTGTCACAGAGAACTAACTACTGGCAGATCAAAATATGTTTAATGCTTATAAGTCATTCACCTTGTAACTGTAACATGTGAGCTGTGTGCATCAGTTGCTGACGCTCCTCCTGTCCAGGAGTTGGAAAATTACCAGTATAAATGTAACTGATGCAAGTTTTCACACTCGAGTATTGAACTTGTTTCATTGCTACAATGCCAGTGCTGCTCTCAACATTCTGAAATATAACATAATAGAAAAGTTTTGTTTTGTTGATATGTATCCAATAATTTACAATAAGACGAACACAAAGCATTCCGTATGGTCTAATTCTTAGTTATACAAGCGAATATCTTTTGTTACTTGATAAATCATGATGCAAAACTCACTTCATGAGACAACATTGCACGAAAATAATCTGATCCTGCTGACAGAACATTCTTGTGTGCCGATATTTTCTCATCGCCGACCATAATTGCGAAGTCACTATGCCCTTTACTTTCTCTTTGTCTGAAATCAAAACAGATAACCAGTTACAGATGCAAAGACATATTACGCCGAAAAACATGCAACAGAACAGGGCATTAACAAAGACTACACCGTGATGACAAAGTGTTCAGTAATCCTCTCTCCAACTATATTAATTGTCTAATTATTTATCTAACTAATTATTTATCTTTTGTTTAAATTTTCTTATTTTAAATGAATGATGCAGATTGATGATTGTAATGTAAGTTTGATGGCCTTTCCTATTATTACTGCACAACAACCATCAAAAGCTATCGTTTGTAAATTATCTACAATGTTAAAAGGTGACTTCGACTACTAAAGGGCGGCTTCGACTACTCATTGACCCCTGATACAGCAGCTAAAGATCGATGCTAATAATAGAACAAGCATTTTCTGACGACGCTAAATTGCCTTCTTCAATCGTCTACGCTCAAAAAAGTCATTTTAATTCATTGTTTTTCAATAATAACTTTTAAATTAAGAGCATACGTGATATGGCTAATAGCATGACATCAGGCATTACGAGATTGCGACTTTATGCAAAAAATGAATGCGAGAGAAATATTGGGTAAACCGTAATTGGGGTGGTCAAGGTATTTTTTCCGCTGTGTGCGCTTTTCTGTTATAATACAATATGATTCGAATAATTTGTAACACTATTGGACAGCCCTATTTTTAATCTTTTAAATGGGCACAACACTTTTTTGAGTACCTATTCTATTTAAAAGAGTTGAAACAAAACATAGTCCACCCAACTTGTTAAAATCAACCAGGGCACTTTTGCATTTTTTTTGCCTCCCGCGGCAGCTTTGCACTCATAATTTCCATAGAGTGAACACTGCCCACTAATATACGACCATCGTGTCCGCTTATTTGAATAATTCTATCTTGTTTAATATTCGATACTATCTTGTCATTATGCTACGACTAAATTCATTTGATTCTGTTTGTCATGGGTTAGATTAAACAATCAGGTTAGATTAAAATAAACCACCCACCATTCCATGCTCATTTTACAGTACGCAGCACTTTTATTACTCAAACTCATCCATATCTAATCAAAAATTAATTAAAACAAACAAAAAAGCATTGGGCATCAGCAGGTTGGTACGTATGATTCATATCTTTTAAACATTCATAAGATAAATTGTATGGGACACTTGGCTTTGGACAATGGTGATTCTAATACCAAATTTGAAAACTGTTTTCCATCCAGCATCAATTATCCAGGTTATTACACATGTCATAAAATTGACCAGGATGGTGGTGGCTGCCAGCACGAAAAGTGCAATATGTTAATGGCAGTAATATACAATTATTCGGACCGATTACATTCCGGTGATATTTCTCGGTGACTGATGAAATTGATAAATATGATATAAAAACAAAACAAGTTCAAAAGTTTCGGCTATTATACACGGTGAAATTAGGACACAATATGACATTTTATGAAATAGCTTACTGATAACTGGGATATGATTCATTTATCCAGAAGAAGAGGTAAGCCGAAAGGGCGACTTAATCATATGACAAACCACGACATCTAGCCCGGTTGTCAGTTGATGTCGTGTGTGGGATTAATTAGCCAGTTTTCGGAAGCCCGGACTTGATGGTGGAGGAAACCGTAACCGACCACAGGTTACGTGAATCAACCTAGCAATCTTTTCGCACATATCCCCCATAGGATTCGAACCTGCGAAGTATTCCTAATGCTTAAAATGATGCGCCATACCGCCGAGCTAAAATAATATAATGCTTACTCATTTATGGGTAATCTTCCACTATACTAACTGAAGAGTTGAATGAGCTAGCAAATGCTGTTCCATCCGCTTATACTGACTTATAATTTAAAATTTTTAGATAATATCCAATCACATTTCTAATTCAAATATATGTGAATTGCTAACTTGTTTAATTCTCAATACTGTCATGTTATTGCCCCACCACTAAGTTGTTTGAATTTTTTTATCTCAAGTTGGAATGAAGTTTTATTAGGTTATCGTTCTACGTTTCTATGCTTATGTTGTTCAACACTTTTGCTAACCTAACTTATCCCTATCTAACCTAAGATAGAAGGTATCAAAGAAAATATATAAGGAAATAACAAGGGGCAATACCAGCATAGTAACTATTATACAAATTATTTGTTCATGCTTTAATAATAATTTCAAGGGACAGAAATTGCTGAATGATGCTGAGATAGACTCCACTCCTTAACTGAGAATAACTGACAGTTTGACCAGTAATGCTATTATAAAGGAGTCAGAATCCTAACACAGTGAATGCATCCCAGAACACCTGGGTTACCGTGGCCGCCAATTTCCAGCATCCAATTCTGCAAGAAGATAAATCGTAAACCTAATTCTGTCACTAACATAACACGATGTCATATGAAGCACGGATGTCATGAGATCAGCGAGGTAGGATTTTGGTTTATTTATTATATAAACTAATGTTCCTGATTGGAATTTACATTTTTATATGTTCCCACGAGTCCCAAAAACACTATGCAGTCAACGGCATTGTTTGCCGTTTGAACTTTGATTTCGTTTATTTATTATATGTTCCCCATATTGGAATTTTCTTAAATTTAGATATTTTTTGCATTACATCAAAAAAGTCTTGCCCTAGAAAAATAATTGTTAAAGTATGTTTCAAACTTGCCGTAAACGACTACCGAAAATCACATATTTCACCCTAAAAATGGTTTTTGCTAATTTATTATATGTTCCCAGAATTGGAATTTTTTTAAATTTTGATATTTTTTGCAATACATCAATAAAGTCTTGCTCTAGAAAAATAATCGTTAAAGTATGTTTCAAACTTGCCGTAAATGACTACCGAAAATTGCATATTTCACCCTAAAAATGGTTTTTGCTAATTTATTATATGTTCCCCAAATTGGAATTTTTTAAAATTTTGATATTTTTTGCATTACATCAATAAAGTCTTGCTCTAGAAAAATAATCGTTAAAGTATGTTTCAAACTTGCCGTAAATGACTGCCGAAAATAGCATATTTCACCCTAAAAATGGTTTTTGCTAATTTATTATATGTTCCCCGAATTGGAATTTTTTTAAATTTTGATTTTTTTTGCAATACATCAATAAAGTCTTGCTCTAAAAAAATATTCGTTAAAGTATGTTTCAAACTTGCCGTAAATGACTACCGAAAATCTCATATTCACCCTAAAAATGGTTTTTGCTAATTTATTATATGTTCCCCAAATTGGAATTTTTTTGAATTTTGATATTTTTTGCATTACATTAATAAAGTCTTGCTCTAGAAAAATAATTGTTAAAGTATGTTTCAAACTTGCCGTAAATGAATACCGAAAATCTCATATTTCACCCTAAAAATGGTTTTTGCTAATTTATTATATGTCCCTCAAATTGGAATTTTTTTAAATTTCGATATTTATGGCATTACATCAATAAAGTCTTTCTAAAGAAAAATAATCGTTAAAGTATGTTTCAAACTTGCCGTAAACGACTACCGAAAATCACATATTTCACCCTAAAAATGGTTTTTGCTAATTTATTATATGTTCCCAGAATTGGAATTTTTTTAAATTTTGATATTTTTTGCAATACATCAATAAAGTCTTGCTCTAGAAAAGTAATCGTTAAAGTAAGTTTCAAACTTGCCGTAAATGACTACCGAAAATTGCATATTTCACCCTAAAAATGGTTTTTGCTAATTTATTATATGTTCCCCGAATTGGAATTTTTTTGAATTTTGGTATTTTTTGCATTACATCAATAAAGTCTTGCTCTAGAAAAATAATCGTTAAAGTATGTTTCAAACTTGCCGTAAATGACTACCGAAAATAGCATATTTCACCCTAAAAATGGTTTTTGCTAATTTATTATATGTTCCCCGAATTGGAATTTTTTTAAATTTTGATATTTTTTGCAATACATCAATAAAGTCTTGCTCTAGAAAAATAATCGTTAAAGTATTTTTCAAACTTGCCGTAAATGACTACCGAAAATCTCATATTCACCCTAAAAATGGTTTTTGCTAATTTATTATATGTTCCCCAAATTGGAATTTTTTTGAATTTTGATATTTTTTGCATTACATTAATAAAGTCTTGCTCTAGAAAAATAATCGTTAAAGTATGTTTCAAACTTGCCGTAAATGACTACCGAAAATCTCATATTTCACCCTAAAAATGGTTTTTGCTAATTTATTATATGTTCCCCAAATTGGAATTTTTTTGAATTTCGATATTTTTTGCAATACATCAATAAAGTCTTGCTCTAGAAAAATAATTGTTAAAGTATGTTTCAAACTTGCCGTAAATGACTACCGAAAATCGCATATTTCACCCTAAAAATGGTTTTTGCTAATTTATTATATGTTCCCCAAATTGGAATTTTTTCAAATTTCGATATATTTTGCAATACATCAATAAAGTCTTGCTCTAGAAAAATAATCGTTAAAGTATGTTTCAAACTTGCCGTAAATGAATACCGAAAATCTCATATTTCACCCTAAAAATGGTTTTTGCTAATTTATTATATGTTCCCCGAATTGGAATTTTTTTAAATTTCGATATTTATGGCATTACATCAATAAAGTCTTTCTAAAGAAAAATATTCGTTAAAGTATGTTTCAAACTTGCCGTAAACGACTACCGAAAATTTCATATTTCACCCTAAAAATGGTTTTTGATAATTTATTATATGTTCCCCGAATTGGAATTTTTTTGAATTTTGATATTTTTGGCATTACATCAATAAAGTCTTTTTCTAGAAAAATAACCGTTGAAGTATGTTCAAAACCTGCCGTAAATGACTACCGAAAATCACATATTTCACCCTAAAAATGGTTTTTGCTAATTTATTATATGTTCCCCAAATTGGAATTATTTTAAATTTTGATATTTTTTGCATTACATCAATAAAGTCTTGCTTTAGAAAAATATTCGTTAAAATATGTTTCAAACTTGCCGTAAATGACTACCAAAAATTGCATATTTTACCCTAAAAATG